AATAATAATAATAATAATAATAATAATAATAATAATAATAATAATAACCCTAACTAGGACAACTGCTTCTCATTTGAAACTTTTGGTCTGTGGAGAAAAGTTTTATGTTGATTGAGCTCGGGGGAGGCTGGAGGGGATGCCTGAAGCTGCCTTATAGGGGGTGACATGAAGAAATACCTTAGAGATCCTAAAATGAAGGGAGAGACATTCCTTTGGATTTTGGGGTCATGTTGAGGATAGACCTCATTTAGAGACTGAGAATGCTTGCCTAGCATGCACAAAAGCCTGGGTTTGATCCCAGGTTCTATCAAAATGCAGGTGGAGCAAGCTAGTAAGCAGCACCCCTGTGTGGCCTCTGCATCACCTCCTGCCGCCAGGTTTAAGCACTGCATAAATTGGACATGGAAACTCATAACTGTTGTCCTAGAACCTGGAAGATGGAAGACAGGCAATTCAAGATTATCCTTTGCTTCTTGGGTGCATAGCTTGTTCAAGGCCAGTCTCCATACATGAGTTTCTATCTTAAGGAAAGAAGATGAGGTAATGAGGTACTGTTGCTGGGTTGGAAGTACAGGGAAGAGCCAGAGCCATCAAATGTCTACAGTGACAACACATGTTTGATGTAGTGGTGGTAGTAGTGGTGATGTAGAGCGATGATAGGGAAGGGATGTAAACAGGAATTATCAAAGTCTTCAGTCACTAACCTGGCATCTGTTCTGTTTTGCAGGAGAAGTTTGAAATGCAGCATTCAGAGGGCTACCGGCAAATCTCAGCCTTGGAGGATGACCTGGCTCAGACAAAAGCTATTAAAGATCAACTGCAGAAATACATTCGGGAATTGGAACAAGCCAATGATGACCTGGAAAGAGCCAAACGGTAGGTGGGACAAGAAAAGATTTGTGAGGTGGCAAACACAGAACTGAGTGTGAAGAACTCAATTCTGAGTCAAACAATGCCCTAATGGCTCGTGGGCAAGATGGAACATGTTTACCATTTTTGGTGTTTTTCTTGCCTTCCTGAAGATGTGAGTTTCTGTCTTGTTTCCTCTTCCTCTAGTTTGAAAGACTGCTCTTGGGATTTTTTTATAGGATAGGACTGCTTATGAAAGACTTTTGCTTATTTGAAAATGTCTTTACTTTGGCTCCATTCTTGCATGCATGTGTGTGTGGATACCTATGTGCACCCATGAGCGTTCATGTACACACATGTGGGTGTGCACTTGCAGAAATCAGAGGACCTTGAGTATTTTCATTTTTTATCTTCCATCTTAGAGTCAGGATTTCTTTGTTGTTTTACCCCTGTGTATGTCATCCTAACTGGTCAGTGAACTCTCAGAGATTCTCCTGTCTTTTGTCTGCACCTACTATCTTCCTATATAGGAGTGCTGAGACTGCGGACACTCAATAACATGTCTGGTTTCTACATGGGTTTTGGAGATTAGAACTCAGGTCTTCACCCGAGGTGTGAGGCACTCTCACCCCTCCTCTCTGTGGGTTTTTGAGACAGGGTCTTGCTGTGTACTCTCTAACTCACAGCTGTGCAGCTTCCCAACTTGCCTTCAAGGATCTGCACTGCTCTTTGCTTTTTTTTTTTTTTTTTTTTTCTGGAAACCAACTTTCTGGTAGGTTTGGAACTCTGTGTACACCAAGTTGGCTATTGTGACAATGCTCCTGATTGCAGGTCCCCCTTCCCACGAAGTGTTGCAATTTTAGGTGAGTACCATCATGCTGGCTTGGAGGATATTTTCTTTCTTGGAGGATATATACTTCCTTCCCTTCCCTTTCCTTTTCTTCTCTTCCCTTCCCTTCTCCCTCCTCCCTTCCCTTTTCCCTTTTTTCCCTTTTTTCCCTTTTCCCTTTTCCCTTTTTCCTTCCCTGTCTCTGCCTCACATTTTCTCTTTATTTCTCTCTGTCTCTCTGTGGTCTACACATTATGTTGACATGTTTGTGCAGGTACATGTAGAGGTTAGAGATTGACTTTGGGCATCTTCCTCTGTTGCTCTCCATCATTTTTGTTTGTTTGTTTGTTTGTTTGTTTGTTTGTTTTGAGGCAGGGTCTTTCACCAAACCTAGAACTTGCTGTTATGGCTAGCCTAGCTTCCAGAGAGCTCCTAAGATCCTCTTTTCTCCAACTCATACACAGGGGGTTTATGGACATGTGCCACCATACCCAGCCCTTATGCAGGTGCTGGGGATCCAAATCCAGGTTCTCATAGCAAGCTTGCAGAGTATGCACTTTATACATTGAGACATCTCTCCAGTCCCTCACTTGTTTTTCCTTTACTCTCTTGTCTATTTCTATTATTTAATTTCAAATTCTCTCTCAGGCCTGGGAGGTGGCTCAGTGGTTAAGAACACAAACTGCTCTTCCAGACAGAGGACCTGGGTTCAATTCCCAGCACTCATATGGCAGCTCACAACTGTCTGTAACTCCAAGATCTGACACCTCACACAAACATACATGCAGGCAAAATACCAATTCACATGAAATAAAAATAAATGAGTTATTTAAAAAAATTTTTTTTAAATAAAATAAAATTCTCTCTTCTCCAGTGTGCTGATAAACTGTATATTGCTAAAATTCCTTCACAGGAGGAAGACTAAACATCTGCCTTTCCTAAGGTTCAAACAAAAATTGAGGCATGAGTTCACTCTAGGGAAGCAATGAGTTCACTGGGCTTCCATTCAGAGCATGGGTGAGGAGTCAATTATGGGGTGCTGGTGCTTCTGTCCCAAAAGTAAAGCACACCCAGTAGGGAGGAGGGCGTTCCAGTAGCAGCACACTGGAGCCTCCCTTCCCTAGACTTCTGTCTCTGTTCTCTAGTTCTTCTCTGAGGCCACATGCAATTAAGGCAGAGTTTTGTAGTTGCATGTGTTAGGTGATGGGGAGTCTGATACTCAGGTGAGGGTCTTACGACAATCTTCCATGATGCAGCCAAATTCTCCAAGATGACAGTTGCTTGGCCTGAAGGCCAGTCAGTTACTGGATCAAATGAGATTTGATTTTAAACATTGTATTTTCAGAACTAGAATTTACATTTTGTTATTTTTTTATTTTTATTTTTTTTAATCTCTATTCCTACACTGAGATTTCTTCCTATCTCAGATCCTGACCATAGCCACAGCAGCTGTCTTGAAACCCTTTGGCCATTTTTCAGTGCCATCATCTGAGAGTTGAGCTGGTGGTTTATCTTTTATCATTGTCTCATAAATCCAGTCAGTTTGGGTTGTACGATGAACACTGCAGTCCAGGGGTTCTGTTGTGATCTGTTTGCCTCTGTCTCTCTTTCCCAGGCAGTTCATTTAGCTGAACTTGTGCTCCACCACATCTTCAGTTTGTGGTGGGTTATAGCTGAAATTTCTTTGGTTCTGTTTAGAGTCTTCCCCTGTATGCTTAGGGTCAGAGGTTATCCAGAAATGTGGGCAAGGGCTGTGCAGGATTTGAGGCAGCTTTTTACAGTAAAATCCTGTGAGGATGCATAATCACCAGTACTGCTCTCTGCTTCCAAGTGTTGATAAGTTTCTGCTGTGCCTGCAGGTAACTGCTTTTCAAATTTACTTTGTTTTCTTATGGTTAGAGTATGATGCCATTCCAGTTTGGTTTTTTTTCAGGCAGATGCACACTGTTTATTCAACCTTTCATCATTTTTCCAAGGGTTTTGAACTCAATTCTATTACACATTAATTTTTCATTTATCCTGGCATCTCTTTCTGGATTTATGTTTGGTCCAGTCTCCAGTTTGTGGTATGTGTCCTGGCTAGTTTTATGTCAACTTGATTCAAGCTAAAGTCATCTGAGAGGAAAGAACCACCTGATGTGGGTGTTGGGAACTGACTGTGGGTCTTCTGCAAGAGCAGTACAGTATGTACTCTTAACTGCTGATAAACAAACTGCCAATAAAACAAACTACTGTTTGTTTTAATAAGAATTCAAATACAGAAAACAGATACTGTTCCGGCACTCTGTCATGAAAGTAGGAGGGGCTCATGAGACCCCGACTTTCCCCCAAGGATTTATGGGTAGCTAATTGTTGAAGCTAGGAGAAGAGACTTTTCTTTAGTGGCACAGCATTCTAAGGTGTTCATACACTGGAAGCAACCCTCCTTGAGTCATTAGGTCACGCCTACATGTATGTGTGCACACAAAAGGAAATAAAGGGAGAGGATGGAGGAAAAATAGGGCAATGAGTGGTAAACATGATCAAAATGATTTTCATGTATGAAAATTTCAAAAAAACCTTTATGTATAATCAATATATTCTGATAGAATAAAACAAAAGGCATTGCTATTCTTCCACCTCTGGTCCCCAGTAATGGAACACTTTGTCCTCAGAGTTGCATATCTCGCCTTTTCTCTTTACAGATGGATGCTGGAGATATCTGTCTATTGAAGGATACAGAACACTCTCATTTTGTTTTGTTTCTTTTTTTAAACACATGCATAATTGTCTACTGAGTGGGTAACATTGGCTGATACTGTGATGATTTACTTATCCAGGCTATTCTTAGTTCCTTTACTGAACAGAGTCTCTAATGAGCAACCTCCCATGATATGCAGTCTGTGCAATGGGTTCCATAAGTGGAATAGCCCTGTCTGAGGACACAGGCCTGTGTGACTTGGATAGGTATTGTCCATTTGTTTTACTAGTTTATATTCCCAGTGGCTTTGTACTGAGTCTTCATTTTCCAAATAGCTTCCTTACACAATAGATTTACACAGTGGAACACTTAGAATTTTGCCAATCAAATAGATGAAAAATGGGTTCATCTCAGCTTTGAATACTAAATGACTTGGAGCTATGATATTCCATTTTCTATGAGCTATATTCTCATTCTCTCTCTTTTTCTTTCCCATTCCTCCCTCCCTCTATCCCTCCCTCCTTTCATCCCTGTTCAGTATTTGATATCAAACCCAGAGCTTTCTGCATACTGGATAGTGCTCTGCCACTAAGCTACATCTCTCACACTGTTTGTCCATTTTGAAGTTGGAGTTTTAGAGAGAGTGAAAGGGAGTCTTCTAAAAATTTAGACGGCTTTCTTGTAGCCTAGACTAGCTTTGTACTCATTCTGTGGTCAAAGATGACTAAGAGCTCCTGATTCTCATACCTTTAACTCCTGTATGTTGGAATTAAAGATGTGTCACCCCACCCAGTATATTGAGACTGGATTTGTGTGTGTGTGTTTCTAAGTGACTTTTATCTGTTTGCCTATGACATGAGTAGAAAGTATCCAGAAGTTCTTTGGCTTTGGTTAATGTGTGTTCTGTGCATGGGTTAATTGACTTTTGTGTTTTCAAGACGGTCACAGTTAGGAGAGCCTTTTGTTATCCAGTCTTTTAAAAAACTTGGCTTGTGTTTTGTTTGGTTATTTTTCTAGTTTGGAAGAGGGCAAGGGATTGAGACAGGGTTTCTTTATGTAGTCTAGGCTAGCCTTGAACTTGCAATCTTCATGTATTAGCATGGCCTCTTGTTTATTTTTGAGACTCTAGAGCAGTGTGAGCTTCATACCTGTAGTGATCCTTTACCACTGGTCTTTCAAGTCTGTCTTCTCTGTGTCTATTGTGGCCCTCCCCACCCCCACCACTAACACCAACTGATATTTTTCTTATAAGGTGATAACAGTTTATCATTAGCTTATTGAAAGATTTTTTTTCTTTTCCATTTTCACATATGTGCAGGGTACATATATGCATGTTTTATGTGTGAGGCCCAAGGTTGATGCTGATAATCCTCATCGCTCTTATGCCTTATTCTCTGAAGCAGGCTCTCTCAATCAATCCCTAAGCTCACTGAAATTGTTGCTTGGTCTAGCTAGTCAGCATGCTGTGAGAGCCTTTGTCTCCACCTTCCCAAACAGAAATTACAAGCAGGCCACTATGTCCACCTAGCATTATATGGGTTCTTAGGATCTGAACTCTGGTCCTGTGCTTGTATCGATTGCTTTAACCATTGAACTATTTTCCCAGCCCTGAGGACAGTTTCTTTCCCTCATGGGCCTCCTGAGTCCAGAACACATATCTGGCTTTTCCAGAAACATCCATGTTCCTCCATCTAGGAATTTCTCAATGTTTGATCTTTTTCATGGTTGTCTGTCATGTCAGAGACATTGGAACAGCTCCTGACTGTTAGACTACTGAATGTTTCCTTTTTGTTGTCACTAAGAAGGCACCTTAGGCAACTTTATTCCTTTATTGTCTCTAAAGAACTCTTTCTTAAAAATAGGTACTAACAGCCAGACATGGTAGTGCACGCCTTTGATCCCAGCACTCATGGAGGCAGAGGCAGGGAGGCTAGGAATTCAAGGCCAGCCTGGTCTACAAAGTGAGTCCACAACAGCCAAGGCTACACTGAGAAACCCTGTCTCAAAACAAACAAACAGGTACTAACATGGTGTTTAGAAGAAATAAATATTGAATGAGTTAACAACTTCAGTTTTCCCCTACACCTGAAGAAACTCGAGCCTTAGTGAGTCTTATAGGAAAAACAGGGTATTAACTCTGGGCCCCACTCCAACCTGCTTCTATCTGCAGAAAATGCAGTTGCATTGTAGCATGCCAGATGCCTTCTGGGGGCCTCTAATTACAAAATGCCTGCATTGACTGAGCATGTTTGTATGCAAAGTCTGTGGTTACTGTTTAGACTACTGTGTTCCTGGTCTCCTGTCACAGAGGTGCCCTTACTACTCTTGCCTTACATATGAGGAAACATTCAGTGAAAGTAGATGGGCAAGTGAGGACACTAAACAGATTCTTTATTATTATTATCATTTTTGTTTTCAAGTTAGGGTTTCTCTGTGTAGCCTTGGCTATCCTGGAACTCACTTTGTAAACCAGTGTGGCCTTGAACTCACAGAGGTCCACCTGCCTCTGCCTCTGTAAGTGTGTGCCACCTATATCCTGCTATTATTATTATTATTTTTAAGTTATAGCCTTCCTCTGTCTTCTAGTGAAATACCTACCCTGTTTACAAAGAAGTGGTCCTTGGAGGACAACTGGATATGGGTTGAGTCCCCAGAGCTTTTGAAACCTAGTTTTTTTATCATCATATGTGTGTACATGTGGAGGGGAGTGTGGCAGAGGTCAACACCAGGTGCTGTCCTCAATCTGCCACCACCATATTTTTGAGACAGGGCCTCTAGATGAACCTGGAGCTCCCTTTTCTGGATAGGTTAGCTGGATGGCCAGAAAGCCACCTAGTGCTGAGATCACAGGCTTTGCTGTGTAAACCCAGCTTTTTTTGTGTGTATTGGGGCTCTCAACTCAGATAAGTGCTTATGTGCTTTAATGACAGCCATCTCTCTAGTATAACTTCCTTAACTTTAAAATCACTAAGAGATGAATGCTGATCTCTTCTGCCTTTCTCTCTCTCTTTCTCTCTCTCTCTTTCTCTCTCTCTCTCTCTCTCTCTCTCTCTGTGTGTGTGTGTGTATTTGTGTGTTGGTCTGTTCTGAATGCTAATTAACATTTCTAGACAAGCTGAAACTGGTTGCTATCAATAAATAGGTGAAGCATATGGTCCTAATGGGCAGGGCTTTAGGAAATTATCAGACTTGACCCTCAAGATAACCTGGTTATCTTCTCAGCTCTGATGATTCCATTTTGTAGTGAAGAGCCTGAGGCCCAGGAGGCCCTGTGGCACTTAAGGTCACCCAGGCACATCTTCTGTCATATCCAGGTCTTCAGGCACTGAAACATGCTGCCATCATTACGTTGGATAACTTTGTGCTTCTTCTACCCAGAGCCACAATCATGTCCCTGGAAGATTTTGAACAGCGTCTGAATCAAGCCATCGAAAGAAATGCCTTCCTGGAGAGCGAGCTGGATGAGAAGGAGAATCTTCTAGTATCTGTACAGAGGTTGAAGGATGAAGCCCGAGGTTAGGCTCTCCCTGTCTCTCCCTGTGTGGTGTCTCTCCATCTAAGACAACATCTGTCCCTTGGCCTTCCCCAACACTGCCTTTTCAGGGAGTCTGGAGCTGTTCTGTACATGAGCAGGCCTTACAGAGGCTGAGGGGAAGCTCTGTTTAGATGCTTGCCTGAGTGGGTGTACCAAATTGTCTCCAAAAACAATGCTGCTTTCAGTGATTATGGAATGGCTGTCAGACACCTCATATGTGTCTGCAGGAAAAGCCTTGGGGTTTGCAGAGTTAGTCTTTGTTCATGGATTTTGCCTACTTGGTTAAGGAATGTTTCCTTGGAGATGATTCCCACACATGTTAGGAAGGCTTAAGTCCTGGCAGAAGTACAGTAGTTTCTTGGGGAGAAAAATGGCTCACTGGTGAGATATCCACGCTGAGCGTTAAGAGAATTTGTTCCAAGTTCTAATTTCCTGTTTGTTTGTTTGTTTGTTTGTTTGGTTGGTTGGTTGGTTTTTCAAGACAGGGTTTCTCTGTGTAACAGCCCTGGTTGTCCTGGAACTCGTAGAGATCTACCTGCCTCTGCCTCCTGAGTGCTGGGATTAAGGGCTTGTGCCACTATGCCTGGCCCTTAATTTTTTTTTTTTTTTTTAATAACAATTTTACTTCCAATAGTAGTTGCTAGATAGGGCTTAAAAAGCAATGGTTGAGTTTAAATAGTTTAAATAGTTTCAGAATCCAATAGAACATGTTGGATTGATTCTATTAGGAGTGCTTAGTGGGGCTGGGCATGGTGGTGCACACCTGTGGCCCCTGCATTTTAGAGGAGGAGCAGTTCAAGGTCATTCTTGCTTCATAGCAAGTTTAAGGCTAGCCTGGCTTAGGAAGACCCTATCTGAAAATAACAGAAACCTTGAATGGGAGAAATTCCCAATTGATTGATAAAGTCTATGCAAATATTACAAAGTTCAAAGAACTCAGCAATCTGAAGCATATATGGTCCAAAACATTTCAGATAAGAGCTACTGGCCTTTTCAACCTGTAGCCGTTAGTATGAAGATACCAGTAAATCACAGGCATTTAGTTTATGGAATGTTAAACAGTTATTAAAATGAGTGTGCATTGGTAGACATGTTGTCATGGGAAAGATGGGCCAGACCCTTCATTGAAGGGGAGAGAACTAGTTCCAGACAGGGCTGTCTACCTGCTAATGTTTCCTAAAATCACTTGTATAATATTCAGTAGGAGTTTCCAACACTTGTCAACTGTGTAAGGAGAAGGTCTGGAAACATTAGGTGGTGGAATACACTTGGAATCCCAGTGCCCAGGAGGCTGACTCTGGAGGATCAAGTATTTGAATTCATCCTGGATACATTGCAAAATGTCAATGTCTGAGTCAAAGCCTTGCTGCTCCGCAGAGGTCTATCCAATTTTCTGGCTTACTTTTTTTTTTTTTTGTTCCTTCTATCTCTTTACAGTACTGGTCAAAACCTGGGCACTTTGGGCTTCCTTACTCTTTCGCTGAAGCTCCACATCACTTCCTTGCTATTGCTGAGTGCACTGGCCTAATTCAATGGCCTTCTCTCTACCTTTTCTCTTACCTCCCATCTGGTACTTCTGAGATTTCAAGCTTGCCTGTGTGGGGCTTTTAAACTCTAATAAAATTGTCCTCAAGCTTCAAAAAGAAAAGAAAAAACAACAGCACACGTAAGAAAAGAAAACAACAACAACCACCACCACTAAAACTTGGCCATGTGTTCCAGAGAGAAGGGACCTGGGCAGAAGCAAGTTTTCAAGAATTCTGTCTATTGAAATCTTTTTTTTTTTTTTTTTTTTTTAACAAATAGCATGTTAAAGCATGTGCTATATATGTGTTTTTAAATTCTTTTGTATCTTATGCAGAAGTAAAGTGTGTTGTTCTGCACTATTATTAGGGAGAGCACATGGGTGTCCCTCCATTTAGGGTTTACAGGTTGATTTCTAGGTTGTGGCCCATTCTGACCCAAAAAGCAAGTACTGGATCCCTTTTCTCTACAGATCTGCGGCAGGAATTGGCTGTGCAGCAGAAGCAAGACAAGCCCCGGACACCCGTGCCAGGCTCAGGAGAAGCAGAAAGGACAGACATGGCTGTGCAGGCCACAGGCTCTGTACCATCTACTCCCGTAGCTCACCGAGGACCCAGCTCTGGTTTGAACACACCAGGAGTGTTCAGGCATGGTAAGGAGATGGGGCAGACCGGATTTTTTTTTTCTTTTTTATTCAAAGAGTTTTACCCTTAGGCCAGGTGTGGTGGTGCATGCCTTTAAGAGGTAGAAGCAGGTGGAGCTCTATGAGTCCAAGGCCAGCCTGGTCTACATAGTGAGTTCCAGGACAGCCACAGTTTGTAGAAAAACCTTGCCTCAAAACAAACAAATGGATGGGTAGATAGATAGATAGATAGATAGATAGATAGATAGATAGATGATAGATAGATAGATAGATAGATAGATAGATAGATAGATAGATAGATAGATAGATAGATATGGGGAGATAGAATAATAGATAAGTTTGCCCTGTTAAGAACCTAGTGTGAATCCTGGGTGAGATGGCTTGGGTCTGGCTTAGGGTTAGGGAGTAGTGTGTGCATGCTCAGTGGAGCAAGCTATCATGATATATGACAAGAGGGTCTTGAATGAGGCAGGGTGTAGCAGATCCTGTGATAAAGAATAGAAACTGTCTAGAAGAACAACAACCTCTCAACCCATGACACAGAAGATATGGGTCCATCCTAAAAGACCATTTCAGGCACCCCCCTCCCCAGAGGCCAGAAATCCAAAGGTCTAAATGCTACACACAAATAAAAGTCAAAAGCATCATGGGTTGGGCATGGTGGCACATCTCTATATTCCCAGCGTTCTGGAGGCTGAGGCTGTAGGATTGATAGTTCAAGGCTAATCTGGTCTACATAGTGAGAGCCTGTCTCATAAATCAGTAAATATTTATGAAGGGAAAGCAGAGTCCTGCCATAGGACTACCTGGAAACAGGTCCAGTGCAAATGGTGTGGTTAAAACTGAGAAATCTGAGTTCTGTCTCCAGCCTCTTGGCTAATCAGTCAGGCCACTGAGGGTAAATAAGACATGCTCATTGTATGCTAGTTTTCAATACTTCATAGACCTCACAGAGTTATCCTCACAAGCCTCCTCTGCAGGTGTGGTCCCATCATTGGGGTGTGTTCCCTGATGTCCCTAAAGTCACCTAGCAGATAAGTATCAGAGTTGAGGTTCTCAACCAGGCAGGGCATAAACCTCTGCTCACAGTGTGAGTTCTGGTGATGAAGACTCTTATGGTTTCTGGGGTTCCAATCCACAGAGCAGTTTCCTGTGTTTCAGGGCTCACATGACTCAACTGGTGTCTTAGTTACTGTTCTATTGCTATAAAGAGACACCATGACCAAAGCAACTCTTATGAAAGAAAGCATTTGACCGGAGGCTTGTTTACAGTTTCAGAGGTTTAGTTTATTATCGTCATGGCAAAGAACATGTGGCAGGCAGGCATGGTGCTTGAGAGGTAGCTGAGAGCTACATCCTGATCCTCAAGTAGAGAGATATACTGGGCCTAGCATGGGCTTTTAAAACCTGGTGACACACTTTCTCCGTCAGGGCTACACCTACTCCAACAAGGCCACACCTTCTAATCTTTATAATCCTTTCAAACAGTTCCACTTCCTGGTGACAAAACAATAGGCTCAAATATATGAGGCTATGGGGGCCATTCTTATTCAAACCACCACACCTGCAGATGAATTAGTGGCTCAGGCTCAGCTGGTCTTGGGGGGCCTACAGTTGTACCAGCTGTGTTGTGGGGAGGGCCTCATAACAGAAAAAATATTATATTTATTTATGGGGGCCGTTGCTATGGTGTATGTGTGGAAGTTAGGCTTGGCAGCAAGTACCTTTCATCCTCTGAGCCATCTGGTTGTGAGTGGTTCTATTTCTTGTGTGGATTGCTCACTGGCTGTGGTGATGCATGGCTGTAATAGTAATATCCAGCAATAAGGTTGTGGGTGTAAGCCCAGCCTGACATAGAGGGATCCTGTCCCTGCCTCCCCCAATGTGGCTTTTCTTTCACTGTGCACACATTTGTATTGACCACTGTTAAATTAATGAGGTATATTGAATTCTTAGATGTGCCTTGGTTTGGTTTGAAAAGTTTAACCTGGCCGGGCGCAGTGGTGCACGCCTGTAATTGCAGCAGTTGGGGAGGCAGAGGCAGGCAGATCTCAGTGAGTTCAAGGCCAGCCTGGTCTACAAAGGGAGTCCAGGACAGCCATAGAGGAACCCTGTCTTGGCTGTGTGTGTGTGTGTGTGTGTGTGTGTGTGTGTGTGTGTGTATAGATTAACCTATAAAAATAGATGTAAAAATAATGTTTAAGATAATCTTTCTAAGGACTCAAAAATAGACTGGTAAATTTTGGCGCGTTAACTCTTTAATGAAATAAGATGGTGGCCCAAATGAAGAGGAAGGTGTCAGCTTGAGTTTGCTAACATCAATCTCGGATATACAGACTGAAGGATACTGTGTGACCCATGCCTCTTCTTGCACATCCAGGTCTGGACAGCTCCAGTAGTGGGACCCCACTCACACCTGCAGCCCGGATATCAGCCCTAAACATCGTTGGTGACCTGCTTCGGAAAGTTGGGGTAAGCCTGGGCCTTTGCAGGGTCTGAAGGTTTGCCTAGATAGGGCCCTCTCTTCACTTTCAAAGAGACCTCCTGAATTTTAGACATGTTGGTCCATCTGTGCCTCTCAGCATCTTTAGCTCATGAGATGGGAGTTTCACTGTGGAGGGGCTCTGTGCTCAGAATCCAGGTCTCCTTTCTCAAGCATCTTCCATTTTTTTTTTCCAAGTAATTTTGTGTCTTTCTCTTTTCTTTTCTTTTTTCTTTTTTTCTTTTCTTTCCTTCCTTCTTTCCTTTTTCTCTCCCTCCCTCCTCTGTTCCCCCCTCTTTCCTTCCTTCCTTCCTTCCTTCCTTCCTTCCTTCCTTCCTTCCTTCCTTCCTTCTTCCTTCCCTCCTTCCTTCCTTCCCTCCTCCCCTCCTCCCCTCCTTTCTTCCTTCCTTCCTCTCATTCTGGAGCTCAGGCCTCACACTGGCAGCACTCCTGCCTCACAGTCCCCCAAATTCTGAGATAATAGTTGTAGACTACCGTGCTCAGCTGTTGTTTCTTAATTTGGAAAAAAAAAAAAAAAAGAAAGCAAGGGCCATTTAAAAGTGAATTAGTCCTCTCTCCTCCCTGTCTCTCTGTCTCTGTCTAGTAGACCATCTTAAGAATGGAGAGTGGGGCTGGAGAGATGGCTCAGTGGCTAAGAGCGCTGGCTGTTCTTCCAGAGGACCCAAATTCAATTCCCACTACCCACATGGCAGCTCACAACTGTCTGTGACTCCTGTTCCAGAGGATCTGATACCTTCACACAGACATACACGCAGTCAGAACATCAATGTACATAAAAATAAAAAGAATGGAGATCAAAGGCCTTGGCCTTCCTGGCTTTATGTTAACTACAGGGGATGCTTTGTCCTTAAGCAGCAAAAGAATTCTTTGTAGTTGTGATTTCATTTAGAAACAGTGTGTGAAAAGCCATTTCATGTCAGCCCAACCTGTCCTGAGGCAGAAAGAGAAGACACACACACACACACACACACACACACACACACACGCACACATACATAGGTCTCTAGGTCTGTGGCTATTTAGGTTTGTTCAAGGCCTTGTTTGAACCTCTGTGCGGGTTTAATGAGGTAAACAATTGAACAGTTCCAGAAGTTGATTATTATTGTTGCTAGTATTTGCTAAGGATGGTTCTTTTTTGTTTTTTGTTTGTTTGTTGTTTTTGTTTGACACAGGGTCTTGCTATGCAGCCTAGGCTGGCCTGGAACTTAGAATAATTATTCTGCCTTAGTCTCTTGAGTGCTGGGATTATAGATTTGTACCATAATACCTAGCTCAGTTTTTACTAGGTAGAGTCTGGAAATTTCTGGGTTTTAGATGGGTGGTTTGAGTACTTGTAGATGCATGGGGGTCCACCGGGGATTCCTCAGAATCTTGGAAACAACAATTTAGGTTTTTGGTTTTTTTTCTCTTCCCTTGCTCCCATGCTCTGTATGTTTTTTTCGTTTTATTTTGTTTTGAAACAGTATCTTTCTGTATAACTTTGGCTGTCCTGGAGCTCACTATATAAACCACGCTGGCCTTGGACTCACGGAGATTTGCTTGTCCCTACCTCTTGAGTGCTGGGACCAAGGCTGTGTGCCACAATCCCCAATGGCTCTCATACTTTTGTGTTCTTGGTGTTTTTTATTTATTTGTTTGTTCTTTTTTCTTTTCTTTGCGGGGTGGGGAAGGGTGTGATAGGAACAGGATCACATAGTCCAGGCTGGTCTCAAATTTGCTATGCAACTGAATATAACTTTTAACTTCTGATCCTCCTGTCTCTACTTTCCCGAATATTGGGGTTACAGATGTGCCATAGCTAGTTTATGTGCCTCTAGGGCTTAAACTCTGGACTTCGTACACACTTGGCAAGTACTTGAACGCTGGCTACTTCTCCAGCCCTTTATCTATAACTTGACTGATGGAACTACATTTCTTCTCAGGCTCTGGAGTCCAAACTAGCATCATGCAGGAATTTCGTGTATGATCAGTCCCCAAGCCGGACATGTGGGCCAGCCTCAGGGCGAGGAACCAAAAACAGAGATGGTGGTGACAGAAGACCAAGCAGTGCCAGTGTGGGAGATAAAGGGTCAGTACCTTTGATAATCTCTGTCAGGAGGTCCCAGGCTGCTCCAGATCAGACGCTAGCCTCAGTGTGACCTAGCTCTCATTTTAAGGCTGTAGGATTATTTCAGCAAACCCTAAGCTCTATTTCCTTGTCATAAGCCTCTGTAACCCTGGCTGGCCTTTAATAAGCCCCTCGCTTGAGGCCAAAGTAGATATCTGAATTTGGGCAAGTAGACAAGGAGAGGGCAGTGTTTGCAATGTGATTCTGCACTGTGAGGAAGTCCCATCACATCCTTGTTTGGGAATTTCACTTCCCCCAGCATGTTTTGTGAGTTGGGGTAAACTATGTACTTGCGTATGTGGAGTCCCAAGGTCAACTTTAAGGGAAACTCTTTGGGTGCTGTCCTCCTTGAGTTTTGAGAAAGAGTCTTACTGGCATGGAACTCACCAAGTTCCATGGTCACTAAGCCCCAGGGACCCACCTGCCTCTGCCTTCTCAAGAGCTGAGATCAAAAGCATAAGCCATCATGTCTGGCTTTTTACATGGGCATTGGGAGTCAAACTCAGGTCGTGGTGCTGCAAGGCAAGCACTTTTGCTAACTGAGCCATCTCCTCGTCCTTAGTTTAAATCTATAGAACCTTCAAGAAACTAAAGGGGCTAAATCAGTCCAGCCAGACCAGATTCCGGAAAACAGCCATGGGAATGGGGAAGGAGACCTGACCACCAACACTTCTTTTATTTTCTTAAGGGAAGCCTGAAGCTGCCTGTAGATCTGCCTGTTAGGTCACTGAACAAAGCCTGCATTGCTGGGCACCAGGCCATGACAGGTGTGAGGCAGACAAAGGAGGGAAAAGGATTGATCCATGGTGCACACTTAGCTTCTGGACCTTTAAACAGAGATTTTAAAATGTGTTTATTTATTTTTGAGACCAGGCCTCACTGTGTAGCCCTGGCTGGCCAGGGACTTGAAAAGCCTAGAGCACTGCCTTCTTTGTCCCTTGTGTGCTGGGATTAAAGGCATACATACGACCATGCTCAGTCAAAATTTTATTTAAAATTAAAATTTATTATATTTATTGTATGTATATGTTTGTGCACAAGTGTTTTTTCCATAGTGCATGTGTGAAGGTCAGAGGACAACTTGCAAAAGTCAGTTCTTTCTTTCTACTATGTGGGTGTTAGGATTGCTAGGCTAAGCAACAAGCATCTTACCTGTTGAGTTGTCTCTTCAGCCTTAATTAAAAATTAAGGAGCTGGGAATGTTGCTCAGTAGACACAAGTCCCTAAGTTCAACTCTAAGCACTTCCCAACTCAAATGAAGTAACCAAAAAGTAAATACTTTTGTAGGGTCTACTGAGATTGGGAGCTTTTTGTATAGCCTTGGGAATCAGGGAACCAGATAGCTAGTATTGTTTTCTTCGTTTCACAAGAGAGAAAATTGAGACCCTGTGAGACATGTTCCCGCTCTTGACATTCACTCTTAGAATTCTGGGGGCCCTGTGCTAGCCACTGGGATACCGCTGTTTCATCTGTTATGTATGGTTTGCTCTGTCTGAAGGTCAGGAAAACGCTTGGAGTTTGGGAAGCCAGCCTCACAGTTTTCATCACCAGCGCTGCCATCCACCCAAGGTGTGGTCAAGCTTTTGCTTTAGGACCAGTGGGAACTTCACCCTCACCTGTCTTCCTCACTTTATATTCAGCTTTTAGTTGTTTTCAGTTTGGGAAATAAGAGCCAGCATCACCAGCATTCACTTTGCTATGCAGCCTAAGCTGACTAAGGACTTGGCATCATTCTATTATATGGCCCAGTGTGTGTCCTAGAAATGAGTTGCCCCCGAAACAGTTCTAAGGTATGGATGCAGTTGGCTACCTAAAGTTTTAATGGCATCCAGAAGTGTTTTGGCTGAAGCTGTCTTCTGGAACATTCTCCCAGTGCTTTTATAGTGTGGTTAAATTGTATCTAGGACTGGGAGATTACAGAGGCAAAAACATGGCCTTTGACACGTTTTCTTTTTTTTTTGTTTGTTTGGGTTTCTTGAGACAGTATTTCTGTATAGCCCTGGATGCCCCAGAACTCTCTATGTAGACTAGACTGGCCTTAAACTGAGAGATCTCTGCCTCTGCTTCCCATGTACTAGGATCAAAGGCATGGGCCACCACTGCCCAGCCCTTTGTTTTTTTTTTTAATCTGCCTCTCATGAGGTATGTCTGCCTCTTAGTGACCTGAGACTATCCTCTGTAGATAAACCCTGACTCCTGTCCCGAGTCCCTGCACTGATGTTGGGGTGACATCTGCATTAGAACGGTGGACAACTCAGAGTTGGACTGGCCTTTCTTAATGCTATCCCTAAGAACAGGACTTCATTCAAACACTGGAGAATAACCAGGTGACTAAAGCATGAGATTGAGATCACTGGCCAACACTCCCTTGGGATGTGGAGAAATTAGCACAGGATCTGCAGCAACAGACTTGGCTCCGGTCTCTGGGTTGAAGTACTGCCCCACGCTGTGGTCCACAATGAGAAGAGCACAATAATTTCCAGAGCTTAGCACCCTTCACTTTGTTACTAACATATTTTCAGTAGATGGGGCGGAACTGACCTCGAGTTAGACCCAGCATTTTTCAAGTGCTGCTGACATTCACAAGGTGGTTTTAAGCTGTATGGCTACTTGTTCCCCTCAGGCATAATAACCTGGGAAAAGATGGACCTTACTTTTTATAAAAAATAAAATAAAATAAAAAGAAATGCCTGCTCTGCTGGTGTGTGTCTGTCCTTTCGTGTCTGTGCACGTGGCTGTGAAGTTTGTTTTTTTGTTTATCTGAGTAATAAAATAATGGGGTGGGGATATTTTGTGTGTGGTATATGTAGTTGTTTGTGTGGATTTAGAGGCACTTGTGTATGTGTGTATATGTATGGGGATCAGAAATAACATCTGATGTCTTCCTCAATTGTATATGTGGTGTATGTAGATGTGTAGGTGAATAGGAGGGCACATATGTACACAGAGGCTTATGTTTAATGTCTTTCTTAGTGCTTTCCACCTTAGTTTTGAGGTAGGGTCTCTTACCAAACCTAAGTTCTCTTACCAAGCCTAAGTTCAGTTAGGCTGGCCAACAAGCTCCAAGAATGTTCCTTTTCTCTGGCCCCCAGGGTATAGTTACAGAAGGTGCCATCATGTCCAGCTTTTATGTGGGTCCTGTGGATCTGAACTCAAGACCTCATATTTGCAAAGCAAGTTCCTTGCATGCTGAATCTGTTTTTGTAAATTTTCTATTGAAGTCATCTTTTCAGCAGTGATGTGGGGGAAATGTTTTGTATGAAATTCCAGCTATATCAGTATCTGGTGGAAGGATTAGCTTTTTCAGTATCTGAGTATTTCCTAGCTCACCTTTTTTTTTTTTAACCTGTTGAGTTGAACTTTGGAAGTTTGTGTTGACTAGAACTTTTTCTTAAATGGTTTTTGGGAATAGGGTGAGATAGCCTTGGACTTACGGTCATTCTTGCCTCAGCCTTCCAAGCACAAGGATTATAAACATGGGCTACCATGCCTTCGTGTTTGGCTGGTTTGTTTTTAATGGTTTTGCATGTTTTGTTTGAAGATGAGTGTGTTATAGACGCAGATGTGGTCTACTAGTCTGAAAATTTTATTTTTAAGTCCATTATTTGTGTGTGAGAGAGTATATGTCATAGCACTCATGTGGTAATCAGAGTACAGCTACCTTTATCTGAGTTCCAGCATTCAAACTTGGGTCATCAGGCGCTATCAGGTGGTGAGCACCAGCCCTAAATATTATATGTCTGGCTTTTATAGAGGTGTTCTGCTAGATCGCCTTTCCAGGCAAAAGTACTGTATTGTCACTTAAACAGATCAAAGAAACTTTGTACTGAAAACATTGGTTAAGTGAAAGGCGTGGGTCTAGGACTGTGTGTTTGGGATGCTGGAATATTTGTGCAGCTTTGAGGCAAGACTCAAGTCTATTTTTATTTTATATGCATTGGTGTTTTGCTTGCATGTATGTCTATGTGATGAGTCCCCTGGAACTGGGGTTACAGGTGGCCATGTAAGTGATGGCAATTGAACCCTGGTTCTCTGGAAGAACAGCCAGTACTCTTAACCACTGAGCTGTCTCCAGCCCCAGGAAGTAATTTTAAACACAGAATTCATTTGCGTTTCATGTATGCCATCTACGTGTAGTTTGAAAGTAATTCTTATTTGAGATGGGGTATATTTGTTTATTTATTTAGGACAGTGGCTCATTATATAGGCCATACCATCCCAGAACTGGTGTAGCCTAGGCTGGCCTCAAGTTTTCTATCTTTCTACCTCTATATCCCAAGTGTTGGGAGTTTAGACATCCAGCCATGTGCCTGATGACTGAAGGAATTTTATACAGTAATTTTAGTGTACTGAGTTTTGGTTATGACCTATTACATTTGAAGTTTTCCAGTGGTGGAGGAAAAGGGTCTTCAAAAGTGTTGGGACATTGGGGTTTTCAGACTAGATACTCAACCAGTATAGACACAGGTTTGATTGTAAATGCTCTCCTTGGTTGTGTTTAAGGTGGATTTAGTACCTCAGCCACACAGCCTGGAACACAGCCTTCCAGCTGTTCATGTCCAAATTAAAGTCCATGACTTGGGCATGCTGCATCGCTCCATGGTTGTTTCCCTAATTTATGAACTAACTCTTTAAGTTCATAAGGTCAGGGCTGGAGAAATGGCTCAGAGGTTAAGAAAACTGGCTGTTGTTCTTCCAAAGGTCCTGAGTTCAATTCCCAGCAACCATGCGGTGGCTCATAACCATCTATAATGAGATCTGCTGTCCTCTTACGGCCCACAGGCACAAATGCAGGCAGAATACTATATACTGTATAAATAAAATCTTTTTTTAGAAAAGATTTATTTTATTTATTTATTACATATACACCAGAAGAGGGCACCAGATCTCACTATATATGGTTGTGAGCCACGATGTGGTTGCTGGGAATTGAACTCAGGACCTCTGGAACAGCAGCCAGTGCTCTTAACCTCTGAGCCATCTCTCCAGCCCTAAATAAAATCTTAAAAAAAAAAAAAAAGTTCACAGTGTCCCTGGAAGGATTAAATAAAAATGCCCTGCCCTGTTCCTTTGCAAAAAGACAACAGCTTGACACAAGAGCCAACTCCATTCTCGTGACTTAGAACCTTTTATTGGTGAAAGTGTCCGTAGGTACAAGCTGGGTGCAAATAAGACAGTGTGAGCTCTCTGCTCTCAGCCCTTGGAGCAGTGTTTCCTTCTAAATCATGTGACTAAAAAGGTCACTTGGTCTTGGTGAACTGTGTATCTGAAATGTGGCAGGCAGAAAGGAAAGGAAATTTTCAAACAAAGGCTTTTCTCCCAAACTGGAAGGGCTGGCAGGTCAGGGCATGACTTGGGAATGGGCTGGGGGCAGTTGCACCCATTTAGGTAACTTTCTCATTTCATGTAAACAAAGTTGCTGGTGACTGGCTGTTTTCTTAGAACCTGTTTGTAAAGTCCCATGTACAGCACATTTAAAAACCTGGATTCACACCCTTTGTGCAGAGCTGTGGGTTTAAAAAGGCATGGTTTTAGATTTTCAAAGTGGACTTCAAAAGCAGAGTGGGAAAGGGCAAGTTACTCAGAGGACACTCCTTAATTGAAGGGTGACATAGCACCCTCTGCTGGTGTGGAACCTGCTCTGAGATTCCCCAAGGTGGAGAGAAGGCTTGAGTGTGTATTTTTCTCACCACGGTCACATGATGGTTCATGGTGAGGGGTGGGGTAATGTTTGCGACTTGAGAACAAATGAGACAAATGCTAAGCAGTCTGCTGGGTTCTGCTGGGTTGTTTTCCCTGCCATGGTGTACAATTCTGAATTTAGTCACTGGCTTTGGTTCCATTGAAGTCTGAGTCCCGAGCGTCCATTTCCTCTTCAGAACCATCTGTGTTTTCAATAACTCTACGGCCTCCAGCCCTTCTGGAAGGAACAAACGAGGCCTCGTTTCCTCTCCTGTGGGTTTTAAACAGAAAATACACGTCTTTAGTAAGGAAATCTTCCAGTCAATTTGAAGAGGTTTTTATCAAGGGCTGAGGCCAAACATACACACTCGACATGAATGAGTCACAAAATAAATTTAGGGTGAGTCCCAGCCAGTCTTAAAAATCTGCGTGGTTCCATTTATTCAGTTGTCATGGGGTTATTGGCTTTAAAATATGTCTGGGTTAGTCATGTAATGATACTTAGGATTCTGGTCTGCCAGAGCCTTGGGTTAGGAAGAGAAAAGGGACAAGGCAGGTGAAGGGAGCACACACAGATTTGTATTTTCTGTTTAAAACCTATAGGAGAGGAAACGAGGCCTCGTTTGTTCCTTTGTGAGAGAAAGTGCTGTTTTATCTATAGATCTTCATCTGTGGGAATAAAAAAGGCATGGTTTTAGATTTTCAAAGTGGACTTCAAAAGCAGAGTGGGAGAGGGCAAGTTACTCAGAGGACACTCTTAGTTGAAGGGTGACATAGCACCCTCTACTGGTGTAGAACCTGCTCTGAGATTCCCCAAGGTGGAGAGAAGGCTTGAGTGTGTATTTTTCTCACCATAACACAAAGTGGATAACACATGCATAACACAAAGTGGATGCTCAATAAATATTTGAAAATTTGTTAATTCAAGGTGCATTTTTGTTCTAGTGGGCAGAGCAGCTCTGACCCTCCACTGCTCCTGTCTTCAGCCTCTGCATGTCCCATCCTGGCTATCCAAGTCTACCTGATTTTACAGGAAGGGCCAGGTATGTAGAGTGAAGCTTTGGGTGAGAGGGGAAAATAGGCAGAAAGGGGGAAAGATCAGTTTAGTTGCAGCTAGCTTTTGCTATTTCACAGGAAGTTTTGTGGATTTTCAATGACCCAACATGTGATCTTGTAGAGTCAGCACAGTCCTATTTGAATTTGAAGACAGATGCTAACCCATTTCTAGTACAGTTAAGAAAGCCAACATTGGGTAACAAAAGTAATTTGCTAGCCATATGGAGGCTGGAGGGAGAAGCCATGAGGGTATGCTCGCCCACTGACCCATTCTTTAGCCCAAAGTAACAGCTCAGACAGAGGCACAGGCAGGCCCAAAGATTTATGATCAGTAGGTAGAGGAATTCCTGGTATAAGCATTTTGGGGTTTCCCAAGATATAACAATCAGGAATAAATACTTAAAATTGTAGCCACTTCCAAATTAAGACACCAGGCCAGCCTCAGAGGGCCATTTCAGAAGGGCTTCTTTCCTGTTAGAGGGTGAAGGGGCCTTGAGTACAGTATAAAGAGGTGCCCCTCTTCACAGGGCTACACTTTGGCTTCTGAACCAATAGGTAGTGTCCTGGGGCTGGAAATTGTCAAAGTGTACATCAAAGTTCTAGATACTTTTTGCCTTTGGAACAGTCTATATTTGCTGACTAGAAAGATTTGTCCTTGAACTCAGAAACAAGTCATGCCCTATTCATCAAAAGAGTCCACAAGGGAATTGTTCGAGCTCAGGACACTATTAGAGGAAGCAGTTCTAAATCCTAGAAAAAAAGGTTGATACCAACTCTCTGATACAGGAAATAAGGGGACTCTGCCAACAATTTTTTTTTTTTTTTTTTTTTTTTTCCGAAACCTCCAGGGTCTCATCCTGGAGAACTGTGGGTCTTTGCAAACAGGCACTGTGAGAAGACCAGACCTCCATAGGAATGCAGGAAACTCTGCTATTTAGCCAGACTTTGTTTCCTATTGACTAGAGGCTCCTCTGCTCCCCCTAAAATCCTTGGGGATGATGCTCTTTGCAAGACCTCAATTAGCTTTAACTATTTGGCAGCAAGAGCAAAGTTGAAGTTCTAAAAAAGCAGAGGCCCCTTCTTGACAAGGGCTGCATATGCTTTGGGTTCATTCACCTGTCCTTGGACATGTATAAGCCTCTGATGCCTCCCCAAAAGGGTCGTACAGGTGGTGTCCAATTCCCACCCTCATGCACTGAAAATACAGTAAGCAGTGAGACCAAGTTCAGGCCATCTGAAACCCTGGCATCTGCTGTGGCAGGGAGTGCTCATGTCCTATGGACAGGACAAGCTTAACTATGAGTATATGAGTTTCTGCACTGTGGTCACTGGCCCTGTGTTTATTTTATTCTGGACTTGTGACCAAGCCCAGCCAGATAGACACCATTTCCATTTTTGAGGGGTGTGTGCAAAGAGGAAGATGTCATCTGTTCAGTGAAGTATCTCAACCTGTACAAGGATAGTGGCACTGCTGAGCATCCTGGCAGGGTAAGCATGGCCTCAGCATGCAGGTAAGGGCCAGCAAAGGCCAGCGCTGTAGCTCAGTTGGTCTTTACCATGCATGAAGCGCTGGGTTCCATCCTCAGCATTACATAAAAGTATAGCATATAGCAGTACATGACTGTACATGCAGCACTTGGGAGGTAGAAATAGGAAGATTTGTAGCTCAAGGTTACCCTTGTGTTCAAGGCCAGCCTGAGCTACATGCCTGTCTCAAAACAACCAAACTAAAACAAACCATGCAGAATTTTAAAGTCTCATGGAGATGTGATCAAAGTCTTTTGCTAGAAGACAAAAGCCATAGGGAAGAACTATGACTCAAGAGATGAGGTCTACTTCTTAAAATCACAGTTCTGAACTAATCCAAGCCTTTAGATTTAGGGGATCTCGTAGAAATTTGCAAGGACTTGGAAAAGGGAGGACACAGGGAAGGGGTGCTGGACACAGAGGGATGGGGACAAGGAAGGGGTGCTGGGCACAGAGGGATGGGGACAAGGAAGGGGTGCTGGGCACAGAGGGATGGGGACAAGGAAGGGGTGCTGGGAACAATAATAAGGGACAGTGTGACACACAAGCTGTAAAGCTGGAGGCATGAGATACCTGGTGGCTCACTGCGAAGTTTCCTGTGGGGGGGGCCCTCTGAAACAGAGAGAGTCCCCAGAGGTTACCATCTGCATTCGGGAAGGAGCCAGTTAAGTATTTTAAAGGCACTAGCTTCAATCAAGTAATAAAAAGTACTTCTTAGTCAACATGAACCAGAGAGCCTGGAGAAGCTGGCACTTTAAATAAAGACAGGCATCATTTAAACTTCTGTCCTCCTGTGTCACTTGAGACCCACCTGGAAATTCCAGCATTGTATAAAGAAAAAGAAATCTGAAGAAAACCAGTCTGAAAGATTAGCATTGGACCAGAATGTGTGTGTGCTGTGTGGATGTCATCTTCATGAACATTGCCTACCTTCTATTTTTCAGAGTCTCAATGACCTAGAATTCTCCAGTTGGGCTATGCTAGCTGGCCAGAAAGTCCCAGGAATCCCTCCTGACTCTGCCTCCCCAGCATTGGAGGTGTAAGAATGTGCCACCATGGCCAGCTTGTTTATGGGATTGAACTTGAAACTACTCAAAAAACTACCAAGTGAGCCACTGCCTCAGCTCTGGTCTCTATTTGTGGTGTCTCTAGCTGAGCAACATGGCAAATGATCCAGGCATGTAGAAGGCCATTTACCTGGCTGGTCAAGAACACTGACACTTGTTCAGTGTTTTCTTGTCTGCTGGTGGGGTTTACCAACCTCCCGCACTCTACAGTTGTGAGTTCATGGTTCTGTGTACTTAGAGATTGTGGTATGCACTGGCATGACAAAATGATTTGGTTCTATCTTGGCCTGTGCCACCTCAAGGCAAGTAAGTGGAGCAGAACCCACAGAGATAGTCAACATGACTTTGAACAACCATTAAGCCTAAGAGAGAAGAGAGACATCAGATAGCTGAGGTGACTGTCCTCCAGCCGTGCCACTTGCCCAGTCCACACCAGAGCACATTTTTTAGGTTATTGTGGAAACAGTTTCTGTGCACTGAGCTCCCAGCACTGATGCATCTCTTACATCCCTAGTAAGACTGGAGAAGTTGGGAAGGCTGGGTTCTAGCCTGTCAAGTAGGAACCATAACATTCTCATCTTGAGGGACTGGAGGCTCCTTTCAAGACAGATCACTGGAAGAAGTAGAAAGATGAAAAAGGAACCAAGATGGAAATTGAGTAGTTCAATGCATGGTGGGTTTGTGATAGAGAGAGATGGGCAGTCAGGTGTGTGGGTTTTGTAAGGCCCAGGGAAGACAGTATATCCAACAAGAGGCCTTGTGGTGGTCACTCTGCTAAGTGCAATTTGCAGCCCATACTATGGCCTAAAGAGGGTGACTGGTACTACCCGCACATTGTGTGTGGAAAGGGGTGGCAAAAAAGCAAGTCTAGCATTTTTCACTCAATGGAATAAACTGAAGGAGAATAAGATAGCACACAGGCACATGCTGGAGATGCAAAGCAGATGAGGGCCGAGTTTAAGAAAGCCTTGGCTCTGCCACATAGTTCAGCACATGTCAGGGCAGCTGTAGGGAAAAGCAGGTGTGTATTTCATGATCACTTCTGCTCTCTAGTTAAAACAGAAGCAAGGGAACTAGTGGGAAGTTAGATAGAAAATGAGAAGTCCATTTGTTGGGGAGACTTAAGTGGTTATCAGATGGCACCCTCAGAATAGAAGCATCAGCTGGGAGTATCATCTGGTTTATTTGTGTCTTGGTTATGCACAAAGTATTAAGTTAGGGCTGGGCTGGGTACCAGCCAGATGAAGTCAGCAAAGCAAGAGAAGGCTATGGAGTGCTGAGGGATTATAAAGAGGGCAAATGAAAGTTGACCATGGAAAGGAAGCTGGAGCCAGTGGGGAAGAAAAAAATGGAGAGAGCAAAGACCTTAGAGCTAGACAGGTAGCTACCACTGGCAGGATTCCCAATGCAGCTTGAGTCTAGAGTCTCTCATCACATCTCGAGCAAGGGATAGAAAGCAAGGCTCATCAAAGTTGGAAGGGTACAGAAAGGGAGGCAGCCCTGAACTGAGGACCAAACCCAGTTCCCACGATAGGTGGGCAGGGCATCTTCATGAGGGGCCACCTGACAACTTTTCTGGAGACATTTGTAGTTGTCACAGTGTCACAGTGCTGAGTAGATGGGCCTGCTAAACACCCTACATGCACAGCACATCCCTATTCTACCAGACAAAGCAGTGTGCTGAGGTTGAGAACCTGAGGCAGAAGGCTCAGAAAAGAGGATAAGAAGTAGTTGTAGTTGTAATGATGGATGGGCTTTAAGAGATGGAATCTTCCTCTACCTCCTTCATATAGGAGGGGATGGGACATGTGGGTTAAAGGATAGGAGTTTCTGAGAGGTCATGCCCTGCTCAGCTCTATGCCTGCTCCAGTGTTGGGCTAATGAAAATGAATCACAAAGGTGGGAGGGAGTTGAGGGTGTTGTAGGGTTCAGGGATGCAGGCGGGCTGATGCATGGGTGCAAGGCAGGCACTCCAGGCTGGTGAGGCCCATTCACTTCCCATGGCTCCTCACCTGAGCTTGCTCTTGAGGGCATTCACCTCGCGGCCCATGGCCTCATTGCTCTCAGTGGCCTCATCAAGCTCCCTCTGCAGCTTCCTGCGGTTGGCATTGATGCGCTGAGACTCCTCCTCTGCCTCTTCCAGCTGCCTCTTGAGCTGCTTGACTTTGGTATTTCCTTTCTCTGCCTGCCAAGGAAAGGACAGTGGGTCAGCAAAGGTCAGTGTGTGGGCCCCAAAACACTGGGTGAGGCCAGGACAATCACAAGGAGGCACCAGCTGTGTCTACCTGCTCCTTGTACTGCTCTGCCATCTTGCGCTCATCCTCCACCTGCAGCAGGACCTCCTTCAGCTTCTTGTCCTTTTGCTTCAGCGACTTGGTGGCTGCCTGTTTCTCTCTGACATGGAGAGGAAAGGAAGGTAATTTCACATTGAGATGGTGTCCTTGTAGTTGTCATGGTCACCAAGACATGGCATCCCAGCTTCCTTGAGCCCTAAATCAAGAGTCACCCCAAGGATCAGTCAGATGTAGAGTAAAAAAAGGTGAGGTATCAAGGCATGCTGCAGCATAAATGACCTCTTATAAAGGAATGAGCCAGCCACAAAAGTCTCCATTGATGTGAGATTCCCCCACAGGCAAATGTTTGATACCCAGCAGGACAGGCTGTTTAGCATAGTTGTGGAAACTTTGTCATATGGCCTAGCTAGCAGGATGGGTCAATGGAGGAGGGACTTAAAGGTGGTCTTTGCCTCTGGTGCAGCCCCAACTCTGATGCTTGATTCACCAAGATATGAGAAGCAGTAGCCACAGGTAAGCTAACCCCAAACCAAGCTGCTCCATCATGCTTTTCCCATGTGATAGACTGGGAACTGCAGCCAAAACAAATCCTTCCTGTCTGAAGTTGCCTCTGTCAGGTAATTTGTCACAGCAATAAGAAAAGTTACCAATACATTCAGCATGAGCCACTCCTTAGAGACAAAGTAGATGGCTGAAGTTGATGGTGGGGAAGGAAGTCAAAAGTTTTTGTTTGTTTGTTCTTTGTTTTGTTTTCTTTTTTTCTTTTTTTCTTTTTTTGAGGTGATACAAATGTTCTAAAATTGTGATTCTTCTACACATCTGCAGGTAAACTAAAAACCACAGAAGTGTATGAATCATCTGGAAAGCTGGTATAAGTAGCACAGAACATTAGGTTGCAGGGATTGGAGAGATGGCTCAGAGGTTTAGAGCACTGTTGTTCTTCCTGAGTTCAATTCTCAGCAACCACATGGTGGCTCACAACCATCTATAATGAGATCTGGTGCCCTCTTCTGCCTTGCAAGCATACAAGCAGGCAGAATACTGTATAAATAATAAATAAGGCTTTAAAAAAACAAATAAACAAAAAACACATTAGGTTGCAAAGATTCTGTGACCCGTGATTAAGCAGGGATGTCTTCCTGTTTCTGTGGGCTGATGGCAGGACCTTTCATGTACCTGGTGGTAGGCAGAGGTTAGGAAAAACGTGGTGGGTTCCCATGAAAGCCGGCTCATGTCCAGAGGACCATCACCATTCTAACAGCAACTAACATTCTGAGGGTTTGCTCTCAGCCAGAGGCAGGCCCAGTACTTTGTGTCTCTACTCTGTCCTTAGCACAGTGTGGCCACAGTAACACACACCTCATTGTCATATTCCAGAAATGGGTAATGAAATGGGATCTTAGGGTAAGTTACATCCCAAGTTCTCTCTTCTGGTCTCTAGAAAGCTGGGGCTGGAGCTCCAATGCCCCCATACCTGGCCTCCTGTTCAACTTGCTCTTCCAGCTGTGCAATCTTAGCCTCTAGAGCCGCAACAGTGGACTTGAGCTTGGCTTTGACAGCACCCTCTACCTCCTGCAACTTGCTGCGGAGTTCCTTGTTCTGACGTTCCAGCTGTTGCCGTGCACTCTCATTCTTCTGAGCTGCACTGCGCTCTGTGGCCAGCTCATTGCTCAGTTGCTCAGCCTGAAGAGGAATGGCCATGAGGCAGAAGGAATGGAGCTGGGGTGGGTATCAGTACCACCATGGGTCCTTAAGGCACCTGCTTCCTCTCTCTCCATCCAGTCCATTCTTTTATACCCCAAGAATCAGCTCAGAAGCCGGGGTCACCTGGACTGAGCCAGGGACCTTCTGTTCTGTTCTACCCAAGCTCCCTAGTCCAGACCCTAGGCAAAGATGGCAAAGAGCACTGAGGGAAAACACCAGAACCATTCACCATGGCCATGTGGTGAAGTGAGCCAGATGATGCTGGCTACAGAAGACCCTGAAAGTCCATTCAAAGTTTTCTGAAGACAGCAGGCAGATATGGACATGGCACTGGTGGACAAGGAGGAAGAAGGGCCCTGTGCCTTAGTTCCAGGCCTCGTCTCTCCTCTTTCCCTGAAGCTGACATAAAGCAGACCTGTGGTGCATGCTACTTAACCAGTGCTGGGCTGCATGTAGACCCTGCTTCAGGAAACCCAAGGCACTCTGCTCCTCCAGTGTGGGGAATATGGCCAAATGGTCTTGCCTCACTGTAGCCCTTAGGTGGTCTGATATTTTGAGTCCAGAGGCTGAGTGCCTGAATACCTTGAGTGCCCAATATAGGTGCCCTGTGTAGGGTAGAAACAACCACCCAGAACTAAAACCAAGCAGGGGCAGATTGCTTCCTGAACCCTCTTTGTTAACTTAAATGGCTCAAGGAGTTATTCTCTCCCTTTTTACTCACCCAAACCTCAGTATCTCCTACCTGCAGGGTGGCCTTGCGGACCCTGTCGCTCATGGCCTCCATGTTGCCCTGCTCTTCCTCCAGCTCCTCCTCCAGCTGGGCAATCCTTGCCTCCAGGCGACGCTTCTCATCCTGCAGTGTATTCCTAAAAGGAATGCAACTGCCTTGGGGACCCATGGGCCTTACCCAGTTTTAGGATAGTCTCCCTGGAAAGGTACTGTCTCAGGTGGCCCTCATTCTCTAACTGGGGAAACAAGCTCAGGGGAGACTAGAATCACCCAAGATCACCTTGTATCATGGTTTGAAAAGGAAATGTCCCTCACAAGCTCATGTACCAGGGACTTGGTTACCTATTAGTACGTTCTAATAAGTGACTAGATCCTGAGGCTCTGGCTTAATAACTGGATTCCTTGGTGGATTCAGAACATAATGGAATTGCTGGTGGTAAAAAGCAGCAGGAAATGGATGCTTGTTGGAAGAAGCAGGTTACAGGAGGGAGGGGGGCATGTATCCTTGGGGACTCCACTTCCTTCTTGAATTCACACTACTTCCTATCTACCATGAGGTGAACAGCATCTTCACCATGCTCCTGTCACCATTGAAGCTCTGTACTAGCCTGAGTCCAGGATCAGCTGAGCCAAAGACCTTGGGGTGTAGCCTATGAAACCATGAGCCAAAATAAGCCCTTTTTCCTTTAAAGAGTTCTTGAGTTTTTGAGGTACAGCAGAGCAAAATTAGATGCATCCTGCTAGACAGCAGTGAGCTGAAACTCACACACAGAGCAGCATTAGCAAAGCCAGAATGGGGTGGGAACAATGTCCTCTTTCTTTGTCCCTGCTACTACCCACTCTGAATTAATAGAATGCCACATTTCCAAATCAGTAGATGTGAAGACCTTGAGGCAAATCTTTTCCCCAGCCCAAGTCTGTCCTGTCAGGGGTCAGGTAAGCACTGGGTTTGCTGTCATTTTAGTGTGAGTTCCAGGGCACACGGGAAGCTGGTTGTTCTCTCACCCCAAGTACAACTGCCTCCCCTGCAGCCTTACCTTCCTGACAAGCTGCTGGCCAGCTCCTCAGCCAGCTCCTCCTTCTCCAGGTCAGCTTGCTTGCGAGCTCTCTCAGCTGCTGCCAGGTCCTGGAGCAGGAGAGAGTGAGAACTCTAGCTACCCAGCTCCTGTCACCTGTCCTGCACAGTTGAAGTGCAGTTCCCCTTCTGAGCTCCAGGAAGCTCTCTTTGCTCTTTGTGGGAGGGAGGTCCACTCATTCAGAAAGAAGCTGACGGAGGGTGGGAAATCCAGGTACCTAGACCTAGGGGAGCAGGGTGTGCTCCATCACAGCACTGGGAGTGGCTGCTGCTAGCAGGGTAAGCCTCTACCTCCTGAAGTTGCATGAGGTCTGCCTCCAGGCTCTTGGCTTTCTTCTCATTCTCTTTTGAGGTGGCAAAGATCTCATCTCTGGAGGCTCGGGCATCATCCAGCTCTCTCTGGAAGTCCTTCATCTGAGCCTGTGTGAGTTAACAGAGCAAGCAAGATCTACTTTACTCACCTGGTTCTGCATAGGGAGACTTACCTCTGCATGCCAACCCCTTGGAATTTCCAATTTATCTTGGTGAATTCCTGGTGCTTGGCTGGGCTCCAGGCCTCCAGTGAACTGAGGGGAGTAGATAAGAGCCTAGTAATAGCCTCACTCAGAAAATCACCACTTGTGGCTAAGTAGTGGCACAGAGTCATCCTGTACCTCTCATAGAGGCTGGCTGCTTCCTGAAATCACACTGATGTACCTGGCCTGGGGAGCTGCATTCCCTCTTCCCTGAAAACATCATCACTCACCTGCAGTTTTCGAAGCTGCTTGATGGCTTCCTCCCTCCCTTTGATGGCTGAGTCAGCCTGGAGCTCCAGGTCTTTCAGGTCTCCTTCCAGCTTCTTTTTGGCTGCTGCTGCCAAAGCCCTCTGCTTCCGTTCATCTTCCAGTTCTGTCTCATACTCATGCAGCTGAGCCAGAAAGAGATGTACAGGCTACAGGGATGCCCTTCAGAGCCTCCACTCACTTGGAGCTTCCTGAGCTCCCAGGGACTCAGCACAACCCAATGTGTGTTGCTGGGGGAGGGGATGTTCACTGCTTCCAGGTTTTAGGGGCTGAATTTAGGTCAGGAATCTTGACAGCAAGTGGAGGTGGAGGAGGGAGGTACAGTTACAGATAGGAGCTGGCTCACCTGCCGTTGTAGCTGCCTCCTCTTCTCCTCATTTTGCTCATCTCGAGCCTGGAGATCTCGTTCAAACTGGCCCTTGAGGGCCTGCATGTTGACCTCCAGCCGCAACTTGGCATCCTCAGTGGCCTGCAGCTCATCCTCCAGCTCCTCCAACTGGGTTTTCATCTCTTCCATCTGGGTCTCCAACGCACGCTTTGACTTCTCTAGCTCATGTACCTGGTAGGCAGAGAGAGCAGGGCCTTTACTCAGATCAGGCTTCACCCTCAAGGGCAGTGGCCTTAGCCTCTAGGATTGGCCTTGGCTCCTGATGTCTCAGCCCAGCGTCTGTTCCCTGGCCTCTCCTTTCTACACCAGACTGATGCACCTTGCCGACTCGCCAGTTACTGAGATGCAGAATCACTTACATTCTTGCCCACGTCATCCTTGGAGCTGACCAGATCTTCCATCTCAGCTTTGAGCATCTTGTTGGTCCTCTCCAGCTCCTCTTTGGCTTCCAGGGCCTCCTCCAGAGCCCGGGCCAGGGACAACGCCTTTGTTTCCTTTTCCCTGGCTTCTGCTTCAGCTCGGTCCCTCTCATCCGCATATTTGGAAGAGATGTTCTTCTCCTCAGCTAACAACTGAAAGAACACAAGACTCAGAGGCATCCCTGGCATAGCTGAGGCTCACCAAACTTCAGATGTGGAAAAGACCTGGTCACATTGAATGTGCCCAGTGGAAGTTCAAGCAATTTAGATACATGTGGAAGTCAGTTGGATACTCTTACTTTCTCACTTCTCACTAAAGTCAGTTGGATACTCTTACTTTCTCATTAAAGCAGATTAAACTGCATATTGGGTTAGCATATCCTGCTACTGAGGGCAAGGTGATATTGAATGATTTTTTTTTTTTCGGCATGGCAACAAGTTGCAAAGTTACCCCATGCACCATACTAAGAAGTGTATGGTTACATATAGACTAAAACATCTCTGTTCCATCTTAACACAACTCATCTGATGGAGAAGATAGCAGCATGTTACAGACCATCACACCTAAGCCCAGACTTAAGACAATTCAGCAGAGACAGATGAGTGGCAGGGACCTTCCAACAGCACAGGTGATACCAAACCCCACAGACTATCAACAGGTAGGCAGTGGAAATAACGTCTGGCCCTCTAGTGGAAAATGAGACCACGGGGGCAAATGACAATCCAGAGCAGAATGGTTGCTGGGAAACAGGGAACGGGAGTGTCCTGCACAAGCTCAATATGGTGAGGCCTGTCAGGGGAAGCAGTGGCCCCTGAGCCTCTAGCATTTGGACTCACAGCAAATCTGTAAACTGAGTTTTAGAATAACTCTACATCAGGTATAAATAAAATCATGTTTAGTAAGTATGAGTAACATGTATTAGAAATAGTAGTATTTAGGAATTTGGGTAATAACAGGTGCATTTATCAGAACAGTGTGACTGCACACTTGAAAGATGTGTACAGCAGAACATATGTAAATTTACCTCAAAGATATAAAGAATAATAATACTTAATATTAGTGTTTTGAGTCTTGCTATGTAGCCTAACCTACGCTGACTTTAAATCCATAATCCCCCTACATCCTCTTTCTGAGAGTCAGAATTTCAGGCCTGTGCCATGATGCCTGGCTACAAAAATATTTAAGTACAAGTCTTTTTTTTTCCCTTACATTTATTTACGTGTGTGTACTTGTGCACTTGTGCACGTGTGTGCATGCAAGAGTGCATGTGTGTGTGTGTACACGTATGCATGTTTACACAGGGCGAGCAGAGGACAAATTGTAGCAATGTGATCTCTCCTTCCACCAAGTAGATTTTAGGAGCTGAATTTAGGTCATGAATCTTAGCAGGAAGTACCTTTACAAGTGAGCTATCTCACCACCCTGAGTATCTTTCAAAATGCAACATTAAATGTTAAGGAAGAAGGGCTTTGAAATTCACCCAAAAGATGAAATATGTTGGGTTGCTGCGATTCATCTTTATTATAAATAACCAGGATAGGGCTAATCTCAGCACTCGAAGCCAGGGGCAGGCAGATCTCTGTGGGTTTGAGGACAGCCTGATCTATATTGCAAGGTCCAGGCCAGCCAGCACTACATAGTAAAACCCTCTCCCCACTACGCTCCCCCCCACCGCGCCCCAGGTGCTTGCAAAAAAGAGTAGGACAAAAGACATATAGCACAATGTTAATGATTGATTCTGGAAGTGTCTACACAGTTGCTTAAACTTTTGCATAATGAAACATTTGGGGAAAGTGGTATTAACAAATATATACTTTGAAGGAAGAAGCTGGGCCTCAGTTGGTAGAATGCTCACCTACCATTCAGGAAGCCCTGGGTTCAGTCTCTTGCATAAAACTGAGTATGGCATATCAGTAATCCCAGCACTCCGAAGGTGAAGGCAGAAGGATTAGAAATTCAGAAGTTCAAAGTCAACTATAGCTATATAAAGAGTTCAAGGCCAACCTATACAACAGGAGACCATTTTTTTTAAAGGTAGAAATTAAACAATATGCACTGAAGAACATATGCTTGGAATTACTTAGAATACCCAGCAGTGCTCCAGAGTATTCACTGAGTGGAGGGAATAAATGGCCCTCATTTTATTAGAGCTTATGCCTGCCCTAAGGCTGTGTCTGTGGGCAGTTTTCACAGTGCTTGTACCTAGAAAAATCTCAATGTTAAGCATTCTGCTGTGTTCACACCCTGACCTGGTGGCCCTTATATGTCATGGGTCACCTAAGATGAGACAAGATAGACTTCCACTGCTTCCAGCAAAGTCCAGGTGTCATTCAGACTTCCAGTGCCACCCTAGAGCCACACAAAATTGATTTCAGCTGTGGTCAGGACAAAGTGGTGAGCTCTTAGCCATACCTGATCAAATTTCTTCTGCTTCTTTTCCAGGTTGGATACCAGTTGCCGCTGGTTGTCCAAGTCCACAGCCAAGTCGTCCAACTCCTGCTGAAGCCTGTTCTTAGTTTTCTCCAGTTTGTCATAGGCGGCAGCCTTTTCCTCATACTGCTGGCTGAGGCCCTCCATCTCCTTCTGCATCCTCTTCTTTCCCTCCTCCATGGCCTCAATGGTGCTTGTGAAGTCCTGCAGCTTCTTCTTTGCATCAGAGAGCTGGAATAGCCAAGAGTTGGGCCCTGAGAAGTGAACTCTCTTTTTCCTCACTGAGGAAATCCAACAGCAGAGGGAGCAACTGAGCAAATAACCTAAAGTGGCCCAGAGGAGAGGACAGGATCCATGGGGACCCTAGAGAAGGGAGGAGTCACAGTGGACCCAGGAGGAGCCACTTTGGGCCCCAGAGGAGAGGAAAGGATGCATGGTGGGCCCCAGCATACTTTCCACACCTGAACATTCAGGGTGGAGACATGGCGCTCCAGGTTTTGCTTAGCCTCCATCTCCTCATCTAGTTGGTCCTGCAGGCTGTTCCTCTCATCTTCCAACTGACGAACCTTAGTGGACACATTGAGCTTCTGCCGGGTTTCTTCTTGAAGTAGTTCCTACAAGCAAAAGCACACATGATGGTCCCAGGGATTCCTCAAGGAAGGAGGTACTCCAGGTCTCCCAGATGCTGCAGTTGGATACTTACTTGGGTATCCTGAAGCTGGGACCCAAGGGATGCCACATCCTTGGCTAGTTTGATGGCTTTGCCCTCTGCCTCGTTGAGCATGCCTGTGACACTCTCCACTTCATTCTGGGGGTAGGGGGAGTGAGATATTGGCAAGGTTGAAATTCATATCACAGATGAGCAATAGAAGCCTTTTTTACTCAGAGTATATTATGAACCTTTGTGGGATAGGACCTGTGGTGCCTAGTGACAGAAAATACCCAGGAGGTAAGGGACAACTGTGGCCCCTTTTGGAATCCATCAGCTACAAGCTGGGAATCCTGGCCCTGGACTCTGCAGTACTAAGTACCTACCAGAGCCCCGCTGTACTGACTGGGCCCAGTTAGGATCCACCTTATTAGATCCCAAATACCCACCAAGGTTGGCAGAGATGAGCTATAGATCTGATAGCGCCAGTATTGAAAGTGACTCCAGACTTGTTCACTCCTTACCCTTAAAGAAGAAACAGGATGGTCCATGACTGTACCTAGGTTCTGCTCCCACCCCTGCTCATTGTGTTTTCATGACTTTTATGGTCATCACCAAAGAGGTAGAGGCTCTTCCTGCATCTCTGTGTTCTACACCAGCTCTGCACAGTTGTGTCTGGGATATACAACTGCAGCACCCCCCACCTCAGTTTCCCCATTTATAATGAGGACTTAAGTATTAAAGTAACAAAACCCTGTTCTCAACTGCAGAGAGTGGTGTTTCCCTGCTCCCTCATCCTTGCTTGTGAGCACAGTAAATATTCATCAAACTTGAAGGCCATTCTTTGGAATGGAAACTCAGGGCAAATGTGTCTTTGAAGCTAAAAGCAAAGTTAATCAGGCTTCATCATTTATCAGCTTCAGTTGCCTCTCTTACTTGGAGTAAACACCAACATACATTTGATTGGGGCATCAGGGGCCCTTTGTAATCTGTTCATAACTTCCCTTCCTGTTCCTATTCTCCCCATTTGTCAGCACTGCTGCCCCTTGACTCCTCTACCTTTCCCATTTACCACTGGGCCTTTGCATATACTATCATCTCTGCTTCAAAACATATGCATCTGAGGTTAGTTCTCCTGAGGGCAGCCTTTCCTGAGCCCCCAAGCCTGTATTTGCCATATATAGTATTATGTGTGTCTCCTTCCAGATTTTGTCTTTGTGTTTGTGATCATCTCTCCTGCCCCACCAGGCTGGAGTTCAGATGGGACAGAGACAATCTGTCCTCTTCTTTGCTCTTTTATCTCAAGATTAAGCACAGTGTCTAGTAGGTGCTCAATAAATGTTCATTATGTGTATGCATGAGGTTTTGACAAGAGGAATTTGCACAGGGGAATGCAAGGACGCATCTCGAGGAAGCCAACTTGCTGGCAGCCAAAGGAACTTGGTAGTGGAGCACCAGCCTGGGGATGTTGCTCTCACCTGCAGTTTGTGGACCTTGTCACTGAGCTCAGCCCGGGCACGCTCCCCATCACTGCACTTGGACTGTAGCTCCTGAAGCTGCACCTCCAGCTTCTTTTTCTTGTGTTCCACCTCCTGCTTTGCCTGGCCCAGGACACGAAGCTCCCCAGTAAGATCCGCATTTTCCTTCTCCAGGGTCTGCTTGCTCTTGTCCAAGTTTGCCTTGGCCTGCCAAGGGAAGCAGAGGGAGGGGGCTTGTCTCTTCCTCTCCCTAACCCACCCCCTAGCCCATATCATCCAAGAAGGAATAGAGGTACAAAGAACTTTTGTGAGACTCCTGAGATTCCAGTTTCCTAACTATAGGAGTCATATCGAAACATGCCCATGTCCCTGAGGCCTGTTCTGTATAGCTTACCATATTTTAGGACATTTGCCAGGAAAAAAAAAAAATCTAGATTCCCAGATTTTTTTTTTTAAACAACTTCATATTCTGTCTTGTGACTGTGCTGCTCTTTACTTAGATGGCCACATTTATCAAAACACATTGGAAAGTACACTTAAAGTTGGTGAATTTAGCCAGGTATGGTGACACACACCTGTAATCCCAGTGCCCAGAAGGTGAATCCTGAATGTGAAGCTTGGGTTATCTACTGAGATCCTATCTTCAAAGAAGAAAGAGAGAGGAGAGAAGAGAGGAAGAAAGAAGAGGGGAGAGAGAGAGAGAGATGGGGAGAGAAAGAAAGGCAGGCAGGTCATGGTGGTTATATCTGTAATCCCAGAATTCCAGTTGAAGTAAGAGGATTACCATGAGTTCCAAGATAGTCTACGATATAGAATAAGACCCTGTCTAAACACAAGAGATGTATGTGTATGTTTGTGGTCTGTTTACATATTTTAGTAATTGTACATATTTCAAGAATTCTTAATTTTTTATTTGTGCTGTTTGTTTGTTTCTGTTGGTTTTTCAAGACAGGGTTTCTCTATGTATCCTTGGCTGTACTGGACTCTCTTTGTAGACCAGGCTAGCCTCAAACAGAGATTTGACTGCCTCTGCTTCCCTGAGTGCTAGGATTACAGGTGTGTGCCCCCCACCCAGCTATAATTCTGAATTTCAAAGAACAAACTAAACAACCTGGAGACAGAAGTTTTACCTTCCCCCAAGGCGAAAACCAGCCAGATCTGGGCAGTGACTTCTGTTAGTGTGGCAGTTCCACTCCATTTGGTTCTGGCTGTCACCAATCCCTATTATTGTTCACATCTATTGTTTAATTTGTTCTGCTATTTCTGTAATTAAGTTATCTTACCTAACCAGCTCCTGTATATATGTGGGTCACCTAAGGAAAAAGTGTTTGGGAAAAACAGGAGTCTGGAGGGAGAATTCAGCTAGTGAGGAAGATGAAAGAAAAGGGAACCATGTGACTCCTGGAGTCCAGGCTAACCACCCACTTCCAGATCCCTCAACATATCTAGGCTACACAATTTCTCTAAATCTGAGAGTTGGGACTTTCACAGCTTTTTGGGTTGTAGGATATTTGTATTTGTATATAAAGGAGCACCCTGGGGACTGGAACCACAGGACTCAAACTGAACATGATTTGCCTACTTTTCATAGACATGGTCTGCATGGCCTGAAGATCATTTTATCTAGTATCCTGGTGTACCTACATTCCAACTATAACCCATCTAATGAAGTCTGGGGTCGGAACTTTTACTTGTAATGCACAGAAAGTTCTAGGTTTTTGGAGCATTTCAAATTCCAAAGTTCTAGATGAGTGGGTGAAGTCTGCCATCATGACTCGGTTTTGGGGGTGTTTCCTGAGCACACACCCTTTTGAACTGCTCCAGCTGCTCCGTGAGTTCCTCTACTGCTTGTGTGTGCTTCTGCCTCATCTCCTGGATCTGGGCCTCATGAGATCGTGTTTCCTCATCCAGGGCCTTCTTCAGCACTGTCACCTCCTGTTCCCTCTTGGCTCTAAGGGAAAAGAACACAGTGGATGATGCTCAGGCAGAGACAGACATTTGCCTGTGACAGTACTGTGCAAGGGAACAAGAGGTCTGCTGGTCCAAAGCTGAAGTCGTCCTCTCTTGCTGTATGAGCCAGAGCATCTTGTCAGACCTCTCTAGCCCTTCATGTTGTCTCAACTGTGAAATGAGGAGCATGTTACCTGGTCCCGGAACTTCTTAAGGCTGGCACACCTGCATGTAAAATATGAGTGAGAGCACCTCTGTGGTCTCAGAGCTACTATACACTTACTATATGCTAAGCCCTGAGGTAAGAATTTTGTTTTGTTTTGTTTTTGAGATAAGATTTCACTCACTACATAGCCTAGGCTGATCTCATATTCACAATCCTCCTGTCTCCACTTATGAGTGCTAGGATTACAAGCATGAGTCACCGAGCTCAGTTGGACCTGTTTATCCATACCTAGCATCTCATCCTTAGAGAAGCTCTAGGAAGCAGTGATGCCATTTCCCATAAGAGAGGAAGAAGTTCACCCACGGGGTCCTAATCTCTCTGTGACAGAGTCACAACATGAAGCCAGCCTGACTTTGAACCTGGCTTTTAGCTACTGCTCTGGTTTTTTCTTTTTCTTTTCTTTCTTTTTTTTTTTTTTCCAGTATTTCCAGCCAGGTAGGACGGGAACAAAAAGGCAGACTAACCTTTGGCATGTGTACAAAACCCAAAGTGTGAAGAATTCTGGGTCACAGTTAACAGAGAACCCTACTACAGCATATGCTCAAAAGATTTGTATGCTTATTAAATGAATAAATGGCCTATGTTCACCAGCAACACCATATTATCTGGATACTGTTGTTTATCTCTTCTATTTACTTATGGTGAATCTTGAAATCTGATGAAAACCTGATGAAAGTCATTTTTAAAATTTAACATAAAACATTCACATGCTCATATACAAAGGAAGACATTATTTTAAAACCCTAACTAGGATGGAATTGGGATGCCGTTTTTTGACATCCATCTTTTTAAGTGTTCTCAAATTCTGCACTACTACTCTTTTGCAGATAGGATTAAATAGACTCATATTCTAGGCACAACCAGGAAGACCAGTGATTTCAGGTCTACTTGTGGTCAGCGGTCTCTGGGGCCCAGCCTTCAGTACCTGAGTTCCTGTTGGGTGGCTGTGCTGTCCAGTGTATCCTCCAGCTCTGTCTTTAGTGCCTCCAGCTCTTCCCCTAGGTCTCGCTTCTGCTTCTCAGCCTTGTTCCTGGCAGCCCGCTCTGAGTCCAGGTCCTCCTGTAGGTCTGAGACATGGCCCTCCAGCTCTCGAATCTTCTTTAGGGCATTGTTTTTCTGGGCAATTTCTTCATCAAGCCTGCCCAGGATGGAGCACACAGAATTAAGACCCCACAGCCAAGGTTATCAAATGACACCAAAAACTATTCTGGGACTAGCTCCTTGTGTCCCAAAGTAGAAGGCTCAGTTTAAAGAAAGCATTGGGAAAACCAGGATTGTCAATCACACTGGCCTATTTTTGTTTTTGTTTTTGTTTTTCTTTTTGTTTTTGTTTTGTTTTGTTTTTTCAACGAAAGGAAATGAATGGCATCTAGTCACCTGGAACGCTAGAGTGAAAAGTGGTCAGTCAATCGATGATTCTTTGCTTTTCTATTAGGAGCTAGCCTGCACCTGAATCCCCCGATATCCTGAGCATTGTTTAGGCCCTGATCATGCAGTGAACAGAATGCATACCTGTGAAAGAGGCTCCTTGTACTTTGTATCCTTCCATCATCAATAGAATATATTCTTATGCTTATCACAGACCCTTTTCTCAGCCCTCGTCTTTAACTCTATTTACCAGCCAATAGAATTCATTGTTGGCTACAGTGTGGCCTGTGAAGGCTACAGGTCACAAATTCCACTATATTTAAATGTGTAAGGAATGTAAACCACGAATCAGTCCCTGGAGATCTTAACTCAGTGCCTGCAAAGATGTCCCTGTCCTGAATTTCATTCTTCATCTTTTCCTCAGATCTCCCTCCCCATGGTTGGTTGTGAGGCTTGGGGAGTGGGGTCCCTGACACTAAAAATGTCAGAACTCATTCCTCCCACATCCCTCCTTCCCAAAAACAAAAAACAAAACAAACAAACAAACAAACAAAACCATGTGCTTCTTTGGATGTTGGAGATTCGTATGGGATGAGAGCACCAAGTTTTATATATAAAGGCTGGAACAGGGCATGGTGGCAAATATCTGTTATCCTTATACTGAGGAGATTGAGATAGGAAGACCTCAAATTTCAGGTCAGGCTGAGATGTATAATGAGACCTGTCTCAAGAAAATAAAATAGAAAAAAGCAGAAGTAAAAAGGAGATGGGTGTGGTGACTGCAGCCAGTAATCTCAACACTGGGGAAGTTGAAGCAGGAGGGTGGCTGAGAGTTCAAGGTTAGCCGGAGTTACATAGTGGGTTCCAGAAAAGCCTCCCAAAAAGGTGCGTTTGCATATTTATGTGTTTGCATATTAAGGTGTGTACACATAGACTTTTTTTTTTGTGGTCCTACACCTCTATGTTAGGTGAGCCCTCTGCCACTGAGTCACAGTCTAACCTTGATAAAAACTTTGTGAACACTAAACACTTCTGTTCTTTCATTTGTTCAGCTAGTAACTGGGTCCATGATGACCCTTTCTCATGTGCCCTTGGTGGTATTAAAGCCACAGCTTGCATTATATATTTAAGAATACACACACACACACACACACACACACACACACACACACACATACACACATATGTAACAACAGTAAAAGAAAGAGAGGCCATGAATTGGAAAGAGAAAAGAAGTATGTGATAGGGGCTGGAGAGAGAAAAGAAAAGGGAGGAAATGATGTAATTATCTCAAACAACAACAAATCATAAAAAAGCCAGCTTCCCAGTATGGTGGAGGTGGTGATCAGGGACCAGGTGGGATGTGAGTGATACCAAATGACAGAACTGCAGGGCTTCTGTGGAAGTAGAGTTCTGTCCTAGTACATGGTGGAGATAACATCTGTCTTATGTTCTAAGACAGAATCTTGCTTATGGAGTCAGGCTGTCTATAAAACTTCGATCCTCCTGCTTCAGCCTCAGAGTGCTGGGATTACATTATGTGTACAAACACATTCAAGAGCCTGTTCCCTCTGCTCTTCCTTTTTCCTGGCATTTGGCTGGCCTCAAGCCAGGGATATTGCAGCAGCTAGTGATGGTTACCACCCTGTTTGTTGAGTGCTCAGCTCATTCCCAGAAGCACCCTCAGATAGCTAATCAGGTATGTTGCTGTAACCCTCACTTCTCTGCAGAGTTCAGGAGGCACCTGTTATCACTGCTTCTAAAAGGCAGAGCTTGGGCTCGAGCCTGGGGCTTTCTGGTTAGTCTCCTAGATCATCTCTCCTTTCTAATTTGGAATGCATGGCAGAGCTTGGATGACTAAATGAAAAATGTTTTTCCAGGGAGGGACAGGTTGCTTCGGCTCTGTCGGTGGGAGAAGTGTGGGTAGAAACCAGCATGCACAAAAAGATTTGAGAGATATGGTATTCATAATACTAGATGGACTCAATGGGAAATTCATAACTGGGGTTCAAATGAGAAATTCTGGGTATCCTAGATGCTATAATCCCATTGGAGTAGGAACACTACAGAGAGAATGAGTTTAGAAGCAAGAGAAGTGGAATGTGAAGTTTAGGGTGATAGCATAGTTGGGAAAGCTTGCAGACCTGGTCTTAGAAGGGACATCCATGTCAAGGGCCTGTGGCCATCTCTTTTTGCACAGGGCCTCTGGACACACATAGACACAGACAGACAGACACACACACACACCTAGCTAGGGCTGCCTGCAGCTCCTCCTCTTTCTTTGCCAGCTGCATCTTGAGCTCTGCAATCTGTGCCTGCAGGTCAGCGATCTGTTCATGGAAATCACTGGCGTCACCCTCCAGTTTCCTCTTCAGTTTTTCCAGCTCTTGCCGGCTCTTCTCTTCTTTCTTCAGCCTCACTGCAATAGAACCAGGGTTACCTCAGTTGGGGAAAGCCACTAGGAAGAGGCCTGTGCCTTTCTGCCTGGGCTATAGACACTGCACATTAAGCCCTTGAACCTTCTCCAGCAGAGGGAATGTCAAGTTTGGAAAAATGCACCTTTCCCATCAAGACACGCTGCACATAGTGTGGAGCCCAGATAGAGTCTCTTTCCCAGGACAATCTGTCTAATGGTTCATTTCTGATTTTTCAGGTTTATTAGTTTTCTTAAAATAATTTATTTTATCTGTGTATAGGGGTGTCTGAGGGTGTGTGAGCACATATGTGAGGGAGCCTTTGGAGGCTGGGAGAGGCTGTTAGAGCTTATGCATCTGGAGTCACAGGCACTTTTGTGAGCCAGCTACTGTGGGTGCTGGGATCCAAACTCTGGTCCTTATGACTGAGCAGAATGTGATCTTAACTGCTGGGCGGGCCCAGCCCCTATGTATTAGCTTTTAACATGACCACATAGAATAGTGGGTTTTGTGAGGACATTTACATAGGCACCCATGATAAGACTTTGCTTGTATTTGTCTCATTTACTTTCTCTTCCCCCTCTTCCTCTGTCTTCTGGTCATCTTTCTTTATTCAAATAGCCTCTCTTTCTGTTTTCATGGTGTTTTTAAATTTTTTATTAAATTTATTTTTTAAAATTTTTTAATTACCACAGTTTATTCACTTTGTATCCCAATTGTACCCCCTCCCTTGTCCCCTTCCAATCCCACCTTCCCTCCTTCTTCTCTACCTATACCCCTCCCCCAATCCACTGATAGGGGAGGTTCTCCCCTTCCCTCTGACCCTAGTTCATCAGGTCTCATCAGGAGTGGCTGCATTGTCCTCCTCTAAGGCCTGGTAAAGCTGCTCCCCCCTCAGGGGGAGGTGATCAAAGAACCAGCCACTGAGTTCATGTCAGAGACAGTCCCTGTTCCCATTACTAGGGAACCCACTTGGACACTGAGCTGCCATGGACTACATCTGAGCAGGGGTTCTAAGGTTATCTCCATGCATGGTCCTTGGTTAGAGTATCAGTCTCAGAAAAGACCTCTGTGCCCAGATTTTTTTAACCTAATTAAAAAATGGGGTACAGAGCTAAACAGAGAATTCTCAGTAGAGGAATATCGAATGGCAGAGAAACACTTAAAGAAATGCTCAACATCCTTAGCTATCAGGGAAATGCAAATCAAAACGGCCCTGAGATTTTACCTTACATCCATCAGAATGGCTAAGATCAAAAACTCAGGTGACAACACATGCTGGAGAGGATTTGTAGAAAGGGGAACCCTCCTCCACTGCTGGTGGGAATGTAAACTTGTACAATCACTTTGGAAATCAATCTGGCACTTTCTCAGACAACTAGGAATAGTGCTTCCTCCAGATCCAGCTATACCACTCCTAGGCATATATCCAAAAGATGCTCAAGGAAAGGACATTTGCTCAACCATGTTTGTAGCAGCTTTATTTGTAATAGCCAGAACCTGGAAACAACTCAGATGCCCCTCAGTTGAGGAATGGATACAGAAATTGTGGTACACAATGAAATACTACTCAGCAATTATAAACATGGTATTTTTTAAAAATCTAATTCAATGAGAGAAAAGGGTATTATCCTTTTTCTTTCCCTATCTTCCTCTCTTGTTCAGCCACCTGCCTCACTTTAACACCCCTTCTGTTGTATACATCCCTTCAACTTTTATGTCCTATGCATATGTACTTCTTTAAAATCTAGATTCTTGGCTGTTCATAGTGCTTGTCTTGCATGCACAAGACATTGGGTTCAATTCCTAGTACTGTATAAGCTCAGTGTAGTGCCACACCTGTAATATCAGCATTTAGGAGATATAACCAGGAGAATCAGGAACTCATAACTTTGACTACATAGTACATTTCAGGCCAGCTTAGATTACATGAGTCCCTGTCTCTAAAAATAAAGTAAAATGGTTCTGTAGCCAAGCTTAGCAATCTAAGTTCAATCCCCAGTGTCTTCATAGTAGACAAGAACCAACTCTACAAAGTTGTCTTGTGACTTTCATGTACATGCTTAATCATACACACACCATAAATATACACACATACACATATACATACTACACACATACACACACTCATGTACACCCCCACCATATACACACACCATTCATACAGACAGACAGATAAGCCCACTCTCCCACACACATACCACACACACCACATATGCACATGTACTACACATATCATACACACACACACCAAACAGATATACACACATACACACACACCACACACATACATACCACAATACACACACATGCACACACATGCATATACACATACCACACATACATAGGCTTCACATGCATATACCACACACACACACACGCACACATTCAATAAATAATAAATGCATTTTAAAGAAAATGAAAAATAAAAATATAAACAAAATATTAAAATCTAGATTCCATATATGAGATACAATGTGGTATTTGTCTTTTGAGCCCAGCTCATCTCAATTAATGATTCCACCCATTTCCTCACTCACCCTCCAGCTCTGAGATCATGGATTCATGCTTGCTCTTCAGCTTTGTGAGGTTTTTAGCCTTTTCTTCCTCTTCTGCTAGGTTGGTTGTCAAATCGCTGACCCTCTCTTCAAGGAGTTTTCGCTCCTTTGGAGGCAAGGAGAAAACAACCATCACAGTGGCTTTATTTCCAGCAGCTTCTATATGAATTTAAAGAACGTACTGCGCTGCCCACTTCTCACCTCATGCCAATGTGTCCTGTACACTCATGTGCAGCTAAGGGACTTTTGTATTCCTGCCTCCTTACAGCTTATCTCTGCCTCAGGTCCTTTGCACAGCAGATTGATAATTGTTCCTCAATCTACTTTCATGCCACCTCCTCCAGAAAGAATCCTTAGAGATCTTCCTTTATTCTCTAGTGTTCCACTCCTAACAGGGTGAGCATCTTCAGAGCCTGGTCACAGTGGTAATGGTCACATCGATCTCACTAGAGTGTAAGCCCCAGGACAGGGCAATGGCCTCCTGCTCCATGTGTGTCCTGATCCACATAGGTGCAGCCCACAGAAGGCTGAGCTGACACTTGTTTTGAGCTAACAGAGTTGCAGGTGGCTTGTGATATCTAGCTGAAGTGACTGCTTGTGCTCCATTTTCACAGGGTGTCATGTCCAGGCAAGCCTGGCACATCTAACTCACTTTTGAAAGCTTGTTATTCTGATCATCCATCAGCAAGATGTCGTCTTCCAGTTTCTTGATCTTAGCCTCAGCCGTGACCTTTTCTAGCTGTAGTTTCTGTCTGGCAGCCTCCTCCTCCTCTAGCTGCTCCTCCAGGTCCTTTGTCCGGTGAGAGACAGAAATCACAGTGGGAACAGAGTCACTAGAGGAGATCTGGAGCTAGCCAATGTGGAGGCTGAGATGAGGACCCTGCACTTTGCTGTCTTCTTCAGAAAGGAGGTGGAAGCCCATATACACTGCGTGTGTTTGCTGGAGGGTGGGTACACACTCCACATGGTCTTTGATGCTCATTCCTTCTAGAGGCAGGGAATTAGCCCCTCAAGTATGTGAGGGGCTAAGAATTCTCAACACAGTGGGAAGGAAGTACTAGATTGTACCTTCAGAGGCCTAGGCTGAGAAAGGTATCATGCCTCCCTCCTTCTGGGGGCAGTCCACAGCCATGATGGAAGGACGCCCAGCAGCCCCATGAAGTAGCTGAGGAACTGGTACATTCTGCTAACAGCCATGTGAATAGGCCATAAAAAAGTTGATCTTCTAGCCAGGTTGAGCCTTCAAATGATTAGCTCTGGTTGGAATCTTGATTTTCAACCTCATGTGTGGCCATAAGCCAGAACTACTCATCAAGTTCCACCCCAGTTGCTCACTACTAAAATAAATATGGATTATTTGGTATTTGAATAGCTACATTCAGGTTTTTGTGTTACAGTATAATAGCTGACACAATTATCCTTTACACCAAATTGCTAACAGGAAGGGGGTCAGCATACGGAAGACAAGACAGTAGACAGAGTAGGCTCTGTAGACTTGTGTTCAGTTCCTACCCTAGCTCTGTGCTGTGGGACAGCTGGCCACTGTTCTCTAAGCCTTAGTTCTTCTATCTTCCAGCATCAGGGCCATGAATCATAAGTTGCCTTCACCGAGGGTCTAGTGAGTCTATTCCCACCACAAGCTGCCCCTGCAATGTCTTACCAGCATCTGCTGAGCCATCTTCTTCCTCTCAGCCTGCAGTTGCTGGCCCCGATCCTCCTCTTCCTCCAGGCGGGCCTCCATCTCATGGAGGATCTCCTCCAGTTCCTGCTTCTTAGCTGCCAACCGGACCCGCATCTCCTCAGCCTCAGCATACAGCTCTGTCTCTGCTTGCAACTGCTCCTGCAGCAGGGTCTTCTCCTCGGCCAGCTGCATACAGGGGAGGATGCAGGATAAGAAGACCCTTGTCTTACTGTGAGGCTGAGCCTTTGGCTGTGCTGCCCCACAGCCCACTGCACACTTGCCCACACCTGCGTGTGCCTCTGCTCCAGCTCCTTCAGCTCACTCTCTGCCTTCTGCTGCCGCTCTTTGATCTTCTGCATCTCTTCCTCCTTGGCCTGCATCTCTTCCTCTTGCCTTGTCACCTGGAGCAATGGCTTTACCTACATATATGTATACAGCCATCAATAGTGGTTTTGGCCAAAGAGAACCATTTTTACCAAATATTAGATTAGTTTATAAATGATTTTACAAACACCCATCTAGGTGACAAGGGGTAATGTCAAGGATATAATCAGCTGTCGAGACTGGAAAGAAAGATTCTACTGGCATCAATAGGTAGATGCCAAAGATACGGCTTATATTCTAGAACAATTTTTAGGAACATCTTCCACAAGACAGAATTGCTGAGCCCAAACTATTAGCATGGCAAAAGTGAGGAACCTCTTATTGTTTGTTTGGTTTTTCGTTGTTATTGTTTGGTTGAGGTTTTGTTTTTTTGTTGTTTTGTTTTGTTTTGTTTTTTGCAGTGCTGGGTATTGAACCTAGATTACCACTGAGCTTATTAGACAAGTTTATTAGAACAAAATGAAAAGAGAAAGAAGCAAGGGAGTTGGAGATAGTTATTCATCTTTGTAAGGAAAAAAGAGAAAATTCCTCCACCACCGTTTCCTTGTCATAGTCACCGTTAGAAGAGTGCATTCTGTTCCAGTCATTTTTTCCTGTTTAAAAGTAGTCTTGAAGGTTGGCCATGGTGGCTCATGCCTCTAATCCCAGCACTTAAGGAACAGAAGCAAGAGGATTGCTGTAGGTTCCAGGTCAGGCTGGTTTACATGGAGAGTTCCAGACCAGCCAGAACTACATAGGGACTATGTCTCAAAAAAGAGAACAGGTGCTGGAGAGATGGCTCAGTGGTTAAGAGCACTGTCTGCTCTTCCAAAGGTCATGAGTTCAATTCCCAGCAACCACATGGTGGCTCACAACCATCTATAATGTGAACTGATTCCCTCTTCTGGCAGGTGTAAATGCAGATAGAACACTCATATACATAAAATAAATAATTCTTTTTTAAAAAGAGAGAGAACAAAAGGGTAAGTATTGAACTGAATGCCTAGTTTTATATTCTGTTTTCATCATTTAAAATCATAAGTTGTTTCTTAGTTCATGCTGTTCATCAGTCTTTACAATTTTAGGTTTAGAGGGGCATTGTTAATTTCCCACCACTATCTTCACCAACGGGGGAACCAATGAGTCTGCTAAGGAAATGCTGCCATTGTCAAAGAGGCTGTGGAGGCTGTCTTGGATTCCTGCTTTTCTTTTTGGACGACAGTTTTCTCTAGATAGTTCCTTTGAATGTGGATTCATGGGAACATTTGCAGAGAGCAGCTTGCCCTCAGGCTTCTTCCCCAGCTTGTCTGACACCCAGAGCCTCTGTCAATGGACTCCATGGTTGCCTTTGCACACTTAGCAGGATTTGCCATTATCTGTGTCTGCACCTGTACTCATCTGCTTCTCCAGTTAGCTGGCATATCCACGAAGCCAGAAACCATGATGGCAACTAGCACATGGCATACAGCAGGTACTCTTAAATACTTTTTCAGGGAAAGAATTTACACACTCAAGGACATAAAGGGGAATATATAACTTTACAGCCAGCAAACATGTCTTTCTGCAGCCAGTAATGCTTCAGAGGCCAGTGGTACCCAGAAGTCCTTCAAGCAGCAAGTAATAAAATGAACTATCAATTTTGTGGCTTCCTATTTAACAAGCCTGAGTGAAAGGGCCAATCCTAAAAGGCACCATAGCATCTTGAATCGATGGAGTACAGAAAGGGAGGGCAGAAGTATGGCTGTCAAAGGTTACAGAGAGAAGTGAGTTTGCTATACTAGTACAATAAGATGGATTCTTGAAGTGACAGAAACCCTTGATCTCCCTTCAGTCATGACTGTAACCCACAAGCCAAAGGGGAGAACCTTTACAGGTCTGCATGTGAGGTTTGATTCAGTTCCAGAGCCACTTTGAACCACCTCCATTCCCATATCTAGATCCCAGTAGGGCTTGGGGTTATGGAACTGGAGGAGGTCAGGTGGCGTCTGGGAAGATGTGGGGCCAATCACTCACTTTAGTGAAGAGCCTCCACCATTGCCAGTTGCGGAGCTTGAGGTACGCAGCACAATTCCTCTGGATCACCTTCATGGCTGTCAACTGTTGCTGTCTCTTGGTAAAGGCCCTAGGAGAGTAAGGGAGGGAACCATGAGAAGATTCCATCACGGTTCATGGCATCATTTTCTGCATAGGATATCCTGCATTCACTTCAGCCAGATAGAGCTTTATGAGCATCAGCACAGCATGCTATCTGGACAACAAGCCACTTAATCTGACTCACAAAGCCTTTTTCAGAAGGCAAGAGAAACTCTAGGCTCACACCTCAGGTTGAAAGCTAGAAATGTATCTAAGGAAATGTTTTATGCTGTTTCTACAGGGACCCTTCACATCCCTAGCTGTGCCAGTTGAGTTCTGACAGACTTCTTTATTCCTTGGTAGTATTTCAGAAATCTCAAACCTTAAAACCAAACCAAACCTGGATTTCTTAAATGGTTCTGAGTTTGAAAACTACAGAATGAGCTGGTGTGGTGGCATGTGCCTTAATCTTAGGATCTCTGTGATTTCAAGGCCAGCCTGGTCAGAATGAGTTCCAGGACAGCCAGGGCTACACAGAGAAACCCTGTCTCAAATAAATAAATAAATAAATAAAAATAAAGAAAAAGGAAGAGAGAAAGACTACAGAATGTTGACTACAAACCCATTCTGCCATGGTGGTTGCCACATTGGCTGTGGGTACATTTAAGAATACCAATTTTGAGAACAGAAAGGATGACAACAGAGAATTTAATTATAAAACTTAACAAATTAGGTCTGCTGTTATACTAACGGTTCTCTAATATCTGGCTTTAGCCATACTGAGTCTCTCTGATAATCAGCTTGACTCAATCAGGGCTCTGCCAATGTGGTGTAGGCTATACTTGATGCTAGCACACACTCCAGGCTCTAGCTTCCTGCAGGATCTCTCTGGGGTAAATTTCCTTTAGGAACCTGAGTTTTCATCTAGACACCAAACAGAACAGATGGAGCATTACAACTTGTAAAGTTCCACTTTAGGAATCCTATTCGGACACTGGGCAGAGATGCAGACTTCTGAGATGAAAACTAGCCATCGTTCCTGTGCATCATTTCATTAACCCCTCTTTAACAATTTCAGGAGGTATAAATGATTGCACTCAGGAGAAATCTGAGCATATACGGTAAGGAGGTGAGGATAAGAACTTAAGTCCACATTTTCCTCCTACTGGGTTGCCTCCTCTAGCTTTAATATGAGGGGAGGTGCCTAGTCTTATTACAACTTGATATGCCATGTTTGGTTGATATACCTGGCAGGCCTGCCCTTTCCTGAAGGGAAGTGGAAGAGTGGATGGGGAGGAGGGGAAGTGGTAGGGAGGGACTAGGAAGAGAGGAGAGAGGGAAAATGCAGTCAGGATGTAATACATGAAAGAATTTAAAAAAAAACCCTCAGGTCTAAAATTCTCAAGTTCATTGGCTGTCATTCTGCCCCGTTTGCATCCACAACCAGCATATATGTTTCAATTGGAAGCTTCCTTTTCCTTTCAGGTGGAAGTTGTTGATTAAGGACACATCTTAAAATAGACAGCTTCCTAGAAACAGGGAATGTCAATATAGGGCTGGAAATCCCCTTCTCTGGACTTATGTTTCTACTATGAATTTAAGGAAAGTTTTAGGATACAGGAAACTGTATTTACTTTCTGGCCAGATAGCCACGACACATCGCCTGGAAAGCCATGATGACATCAGTAATCTTCAGGTCTCGTTCCTCCTCCAGGTGGGCCAGGACCCCCGTACGGAAGAAGATTTTGCTCTGCCCAATCCTGTACAGATTGGGGTCAAGTTCAAGGGCTTTGATCTGAGGAAGAAGGAAGAAGAGTTGCTATTTTCAACTGGACCACTTAGTCAGTGGTGACATGAATTTAAGAACTATCCCACCCAGATCAGCAACTGGCAATATGACCCAAAGGTGGAAGGGCAGAGTTGGATGTCTGGGGAGGGTCCAGTGTTAAGCTTACCATGAGAATGCAGGCTTGCTTTCCATCCATGAAGCCTTTGGGGATGGCATTCGCTGCCAGGATCTCATAGCTAAAAATACAGGGCAGAAGTTACCCAACACATCTCCATCATTCATGCTTTTTCCAAGGCTTGATCCCCACTGCCTCATCAACTCTAGCAGGCTCACCGTTGCCGGAACTCTTGGAAGACAATCCTGTTGGGGAAGCCCTGCCGGCAGATGCGGATGCCTTCCAACACACCGTTACACCGCAGCTGCTCCAGCACCAGAAATGCATCCAGCTTGCCAGACTGTGGAAGTGGAAGAAGTCATGCTGGAACAGCACGCCCAAGACCTCAGGGCCAGAAAACATACCTGGCAGTCTTCATAGGGGTTTAGCTGAGGAACAGTGTCCCCAGTTGCCATCTCTGGGTTTCTATGCTTTGGAAACCCCTATTTGTCCCACAATATTGGTTGTGCTTGGTGGTGCTAGCACCCCTGGCCAGAAGTTTGGCTGTTTTTCCCCCACTCTACTCTCCCTCACTACTGTGCCATCACCATCCTTAGTCCTTAGCTCCCAAGTCTCTCCCAGTAAGTTTCTGTTTTTTTTAAAAAAGTAGATGTGGTGTGCATATATGTGCATTCATGTTTTTGAATGTCTATGAGAGCACAGTGTATGTGTGTGATGTGTGTGATGTGTGCATGAGAGCACAATGTATGTGTATATGAGTGTGATATGAGTATGTGCTATATGTATCTATGTGTGATTTGTGAGATGTGTATATGTGTACGTGATATGTGTATATTCATGTATGTGTGTTTATATGTGTGCACATTGGAGGCCCAAAGTTGGTGTCAGAAATCATTGTCAATCACTCTTCTATCTTATTCATTGAGGCATTCATTCATTTATTCATTCATTCTATCACTCAAACTCAAAGTTCACCAGCACAGCTAGTTTCTTAACTGGATTGTTCTGTGGATTCCCTGTCTCTGTCTTCTGAGATTAAAGTTACAAGTGGGCCACCATACCTAGCCAGCCATTTATGTGGGTTTCTGGGGTTTCAAGTCCCACTTGTGTGGCAAGCACTTTAAATGGTTGAGCCATCTCTCAGACAACCATAGCCCCTTCCAATTTGGTCATCTCCCCTCAGTCCTACCTGTTCCTTCTAACTCCTTATTTGATCTAAAGTATAATATTGATCATGACCCACTGCTTAAACTCCTTCAGTGGCTTCCTAGAGACAGGCTAGCCAATCTCTAGTCATCACAAAAGGAACTCCATATTCTAGTATAGTCCTATCCCTACCTTATGCCATCATGTATCAAAATGAAACAAAGGGGCTGGGAAGATGGCTCACTCCATAAAGTGTATGAGTCCCTAAGTTAAAATCCATAGAACCCACGTAAAAAGGTGGGCATAATGGTGTGTACCTGTAATCCTAGAATTATAAGATGGGAGGCAGAGACAGGAGGATTGTGAAAAGCTCACAGACTAGCTCAGTGAAAGTTCCAGGCTAGTGAGAAAGCTCTCCACACAGAAGTGGAAGGTACCTAAGGACTGACACCAGCTCTTGTCTTCTGACTGTGTATGTGCATCCCATAGCCATAAGCATGCACACAAAACAAAAACAATACAAAATGACCTAGTGACAGTTTTCTTGCCTAGACTCTTCTCACCTCTATAAATTTTCTTACCACAAACCCTTGGTCTAAAATGTTTCCAAACACACTCATACTCCACTGTGCACTTCACCAAGTTGATGCCTACCCATTCCTTTGTAAATGGCATTTATTTATTTACGATGTATATATGTGGGGGGATAGGTGTGGGCACAGGTATGACAATGCATACATGGAGGTCATAGGACATCCTGTGGCAGTCAGTTTTTCCTTCTGCCATGTGGGTCCTGTGGGTCCCAGGGATGGAACTCAGAATATTAGCTTTGGCAGCAAAAGCCTTTACCCTTTGAGCCATCTCCCCAGCCCATCTACCCATTCTTAAAGTTCTTGAGGTAGATACCCCAGCTTTTTGTTGTTTTTCTAATTTACCATCATAGTAATAGCCTGTGTGTCAAGGTCCCTGTGGTCTCCCACAACCTCAGTACCAATGATATTTTGGGCCCATTAATTCTCTGTTGTGGGGAAAATGCAGCACATAATGATTTGTCCAGCAGCCCCCCTGGTCTCTCTCTCTACTAGATGCTGTATCAATCCCCTTCTCATTGTGACAAGAAAATGTGTCCCCAGTGATTTCTTCAACTCTGTATCCCAACTGTCAGTCACAAATAGCAGCTTGGCAGGCATTTGCCGGAAGAATGGAAGTATTGGTAGCCTCACGCACCATGCCTCTACCCATCTGAACAATCTCTGGAAAGATTCCCTCCCTTCCTCCTTCCTTTCTTCTCTTCTTCCCTGTCTCCCTTCCTCTCTCCTTCCCTTCTTCTCTCCCTGTCTCCTTCCCTCCCTTCTTCCCTTCCTCTCTCTTTTTTTCTCTCCCTCCCTCCTTCTCTTGTTCTCCTTTGCTTTCAGGCTTGGGGAGTAGACCCCAAATCCAGACAACTTTCCATATGTCTAGATACAGGTTTCCTTGAGGGTGCTTGGGCAGGAACCAAGGTCAGACCTCTTTTTTCTGCCTATCCACCTCATTAGTTTGCCTTGCTGCCCCCCAGGTTCCTCTCTGCAGCTCTCCAGCACTATCCCATAGCAGAAGCTCCATGCTAGGGGATGCCTCACCCTCTTCTCATGGTTGGGGATGATACAGCGCACAAAGTTAGGTGTGGTGTTGCGAAGTGTAGTCATCAGCTTCCCCAGCTGTTCTTTGTAGAGCTGGCCCACGGTGCGGAACATGCCCTTCTTGGTCTTGGAGGCACTGGGCAGTGAGCTTTCAGTCATCTTGGCCATCTGGTCCAGCCCCACAATGCGGTCCACTGTTGGGTACATGAAGAATGACATTAGTCTCTGGGATTTGCTCTAAGCTAGAGGATCAAACTGTGAAGATGGTGGTCAAGGGAGGTGTTTTATGCAAGTGATATTCTATGGGAGACTCTAGACCCCATTTGGGGTACCATCTCCTATCTTTTCCTATGATGGTCAGTGCTGGCAGGGGTAAGGGCTGGGGGAAAGAGCCTCTAATGTGGGCATCTTTGAGAACACCTGAGTGGCAGGATAAACCAACATCCTCTGTTCTTATCACAGAGACCAAATGAGTCAGTTTCATTCTTGGTAGTAACTCACTTGGTAGCCTGGCCCTGGCACCATGTGTGGTTCCATTTTCCTTTTTTAACAATGTAAGCAATAGTAGCATCTCCTAAAGATGGAATGTGAACACAAAGCATAGAAAGCCCTCAGCCTTTAATACTTCTTTTACCCCCAGAAATTTTCTAAGAACCGACCATGTATGGGGCCCTAAGCACTCACCAAAGACCCTGTCTACCTCAGCCTATAGGTTACCAATTTTTTTTTAAATTAGTTAACCTATTTATTTATTTATTTATCCATTTATTTATTTATTTATTTATTCATTCATTCATTTATTTATTTATTTATTTATTTATTTATTTATTTATTTATTTATTTATTTATTTATTATGTATGCACTGTCTGCCTACATGTCAGAAGAATGTACCAGATCTCATTATAGATGGTTGTGAGCCACCTTGTGGTTGTCAGGAATTGAACTCAAGACCTCTGGAAGAACAATCAGTTCTCTTAACCTCTGAGCCATCTCTCCAGCCCCAGGTTACCAATCTTTAACAGAAGGAGGCAGACAATGAAGTGTAATGAGCTATGATGGGAGGGAGAGATGGAAGGAGTGGGATGAGGAAAGAAAAAGGGAGAAAAAGAGGATGAGGGGACAAGAAGAGGAGAAGTGACATTCCTCACACAGGGTGATGAGAAGTGTGTGTCTGAGAAGCTGATCTCTGAGAAGCTACAGAAAGAAGGGAGTGACCACATAGATGTGCTGGTTTACCACCTTTCCATGCATACATAAGTATCCAGTGAAAGGATATTCTAGGTAGAAGATACAGCAAGTTCCCTGAGGAGGAACTGAGCACGCTGGTAAGTGCTTGACAGACCAAGCATTAGTAGGTAATATTATTACCTACTAATATTATCAGGGGAGCTTTTGTTTTGGGCAGGTGCTCTGCCACATAACCATTAGTCTTCTTTAGAGTGGAATGAGAAGCACCCACCATCCCAGCAGGTGGCGCCATCATGCCCTGTTGATGCAACACTGGATGGAGCCAGAGCTTCCTGTGTGCCCAAGCTCCAGCCCCAGCCTGGAGTTGAACCGGGAGACCCTGGTGCAAGGCTGAGAGCCACTGGTGAGAGTCAACCTCATACAACTCCCAGGGCAAGTGGGATGTGGTATTAACCCAGTTTACAAATGAGGACATCCACGCTTAACAGAGTCAGGCAACATAGCCAAGATCATATGTGGCAGAGACTCTAACATACAGTCCTTCTGACTTCAGATGGGGACTGCTTCATTATGCCCAGTTACACCACTTCTGGGGCCCTGAAACAGGACCTTCTCGGTGACTCCAGGAATGGGATGGAGGAGTCAGTGTCCCTTGTTTAAGAATAGACTGTGAACTGAATTATCTGGGGGTGGAGGGGAAGGCAGATCTATGTTAAAGATTCTACAAGGCTGACATATTGGTAACTATGGAGAGTTAGAATGTTGCACGTCCAGAGCTAAATCATCTTGGGCTATCTTTAGTCCCTAAATGGACATTCATCATCTACATCCATGCCTGATGTAATATTAATATGACACCTTTTGGGCTGTCTTAACAGACCACCAACTTCTGCCAACCCCAAAGCTAAGAATACCATCAGATTCTCACAAGAGTCCTTAAAAGATTGCCTTTATTTATGACTTCCTTTTGTTCTGGGACATTAAAACCTCATGATACCATTTCCACATTAAGTCATGCCATTTGGGGTATACCGAACCTGTCTTGTACAGCCACAGCCACTCACACTTAGCAAAGAATAAGCTCTTACTTCCTATGAAGGGAGAACTGAATGTTATGTGGATAAAGCTGTTTCAATGTGACATCATTAGCTTGTGAAAGTCTGTTCTCCCTGTTTCTACATGGGGTCTCCCAGTCAGGGGCAGATGTAGAAACCAGGGCAGTAGGTCTGAGGTGTTCAGCCTTCCAGCTCAAAGCTGCATCCAGGGCAGGAAGTCTTACCATCCTTCCACAGGTCAGCCACAAATTTGTCAGAGGAGGCATTGAGGAGTGAGGTCACGTTGTCATTTAGCGGGTCCATATTCTTGGTTAGCCAGGCACTTGCATTATAGTCCACCTGCCAAAAGCCACCCTGTCATCAGGTTCCCTGGCTCAGAAACCCACTACAAAGCCCAAATCCTCCCATATTCCTCTCACATCTCTAGAAATCAGATGGGAAATGACATTTTTTGAGACTACCACCAACACCAAGGAAGAGACCAATAGGTCAGAATCTTCAGGGATCTTGTACATAACAGGGCATTCACCAGTGATAAGCTAGTGCCAGAGAAGCCTCTTGCTGTTCCACAGAGCCTCAGAGGAGCCACCTTTGCCAAAGTCTCACAGTAAGGCCTGGAAATGGCCAGGGAGGCTAATGGTAACAAAAGCTGTCCTAGACATTCCGTGTTTTCTCCTACTCTAGGGCAGCTTGATTGGAACCCTCACGGTTAAATTCAGAGGCTTTTCCTCCACTGATGAATAGGATTCTTACATCTTCAAAGCTTTATTTTACGGTACTTCATTATATTACCGGGGATTGAACCAGGGGTAGGTGCTCTAGTTTATTTCTGTTGTTATGATAAACACCCTGACCCAAAGCAAGGAAAGGGGATTTTTGGCTCACAATTTCAAGCTTAAGTCAATCACTGAGAACAGTCAGGGCAGGGACTCAAAGCATCACATCCATAGAGAAGGGCAGAAAGAAACAAAGTGCCCATGCTGCTTGCTTCTGTTTCATGTTTTCTCCCTGTCACCCATGAGGTAGTGCCACCAACATTCAAGGTAGGTCTTTGCACCTTAATTAATAATAAATACAACTATCCCCTTCCTAACATGCCCACAGGCCAACCTGACCTAGGTAATTCCTCTGTTGAGACTCCCTCCCAGATGGCTGAAAGCTTGAGACTAACCTTCACAGAAGGCAAGTGCTCTGCCGCTGAGCACTAGCCTGTTAGCTGGAGACTTTGATACATGGATATGTAGAAAAGGACACTGAGGCCTCTTGAAATTCCTGACTTGCTTAAAATGCCCAATGTTAATGACTGTGACCACAACACAGAGTGAACTGACAATACAGCTCTGTTGGGTTATGATGGGATGTGGGTTGTTATGGTGGTGACAAGTCCTGATCTGTGAGAAGACTGGAAAAAAACATGTAGGAGCCTGGAAAAAATGTTACCAGGATATGCTTAAAGAGACATAAGCTCCACTGAGTATAAAGCAGGAGACAAGAAACTTTGGTAAAGAGGCCAGAGTGTGAATATGTTCTGCCTGGTGGGCTATCCAATCTGTCACAATGTCTCACCTCCGCTCTTATAACACCAAAGAAACCATAGATCTTATGAAAACAAATGAGCCTGACTATGTTCCAATAAAACTATATTGATAGAAACAAGAAATAGGCCAGATGTGGTCTTTGATCTGAAGTCTACCAATCCTTTGTTGGATGTGGTACTGTCTGTTCTCATGATTCACTGTGAAAAGAAGATGGGTGAATAAAAGAATTCTATAAGTCAGAACAAGCTATAACTTCTCTTTTTAAAGTATTTACTTATTTTGTAAGCATGGCTGTTATGCCTTCGTGTGTCTGTTTGCCGTGTGTGTGCAGTGCCAGCAGAGGCTAGCTGTAGCTTTTCTATGCTATTCAGGACACACTAATATCCAAGATGCTGATGATGACCATGTGACAATGATGAAGATATCAGCTATCATGGATTCCCCCAGATGAAGTACAGGGGTCCTGTGAATCTATTGGTCCCCTCCCTCCAGAAACCTTGCTTGTTAGACTTGACATGGAGCAAGCAGTATTTGGAGTCTTCACAGAGAAGAACAGTCTGATCAGTACAGTTGACATACATCAGAGATGCTCACTCTCGCTCCTAACAGACACTTAGATAAGTTATACAGAGTCCCTAACTGGAAACTGACTTGCTACAAGTCTGTGCAGGGTGCAGCCATTGCCAGAGCACCCTTGCTGTGAACATCCACCCAGGTAACTTTGGGACTCTTGATCAGTACCTTCCCAGCATAGTGGATGATGGAGAACTCTGTTTTGTCCTTTAGCTGCTTAGGCTTTTGAAATTTGGGGTGATTGCCCTGCTCTGAACACAGCTTCTCCACAAAAGACTTGTCCGTAGCTTTGGGGAACCAGCATTCTTCATCCAGCAGGGCTAGCACACCCGGAGGGTTGTTCTGGGGACACAGGAAAGAAAAGTCACCACCAGGCAGAAGGACCCCAGTCTGACAATGAAAAGCCATCCATCCAGATTCTACACACGCAGCCAGGTGTGATGGCACAGGACTGGAGTCTTGGTGTGGGGGAAGTGGAGGATCAGTTCAGTGCTAAGTTCAGCTATAAACAAGTTCAAGGCCAGGCTGAGCTGTGAGACCCTATTTCAAAAATTATTTTCCCCTTCAAAAAGAGAGAGGTCATACACAGGACTCCTCCTGGCACTGCTACTGCATTTTTGCTTATGTCAAAGGTAAATCCATGTCCTCTTTCCTCCACCCTCAAATCTATTAAATCATTACCCTTCAGTCAATAGAGAGCCTGAGAGATTGAAAGCAAGAACTAACAGAGCACAAATCTTATGGCTACTCAGGCTGGGCAATACACAAACATTGTAAAGATTGCATTCCCCTCTCTCACCTTGAGTGAGAATGGAATTCAGGGCCTAGAGCCAGCTAGGCAAGCCCTCTATAGTCTGAGCTATATCCCCATCTGTTTTTCTTTTATTGTTTTGTTTGAGACACAGCCTCTCAGGCTCTCAGACAGGCTTTGAGACACTATATCCCAGGCTGTTCACTCTTCAGTCAACACTAGACCCAAACCTGCAGCAATTCTCCTGCCTCAGCTTCCTGGGTGGTAGGATTATAGGTGTAAGCCACTATATTCAGTTAAGGTCACACAAGAATTTCAAATGAGTCTGTTGCTTTGCTTCCTTATAAATTTACCCAGTATCCCTCTCAGCAAAGCTTTTCCTGTGTCTGAGAAGGCCTAAATTAAGGTGTCAGAATGTATCATTCACCCTGTGAGAACTATCTCCGCTTTGAGAATTCCATCTCATTTCTTAATTGTCCTCCATAGTGCCTTTCCAGGAGTGTCAGTTTGGTTTCACCACCAGCTCTTCCAGGCGGTAAGGGTCCATGACAATCTTGCTCATAGTTATAGCTCAACTTTAAAAGAAGAGGCCCAGCACACAGTGACTGTTCACCTGCTATAGCTTTAGAAGTTTGGGATACATCAGTAGACAAAGCACAGACTCTTTGGAAATGAATGTGCAGAAGAGAGGAAGAGAAAACCTTGGGGAATTGCATTATGGTGGTGTATATCCTAATCTTAGAATAGGAAAGCTGAGGCCAGCCTGGGCTATAATGAGACCCTACCTCAAAAAACATATATATATATATATGAGCTAATAAAACCATCTTTAAACTTTAAAGTGAAAGAGCATTTGCCTAGTGTGAGCAAAGTCCTGGGTTGCAAGCCAAGAATTACTAAAATAATTATTTTGCTGAGGACCAGAATGACTAATCTTAACACTTACAAGGCTGAGGCAGAGAGACTCTTAGGGTTTGAGGCTAATCTTGTCTACATACTGAGTTGCTAGTGAGTTCACTCAAAAGAGGGAGGGGTGGTATAAAAAAACAAAAACAATCAAAAACTTTGATTAAAAACATAGATCAACAGAAAGCAGGACCTCGTTCCTAAGGACTTCATTTACAGTCTTCCAGGACTTGCCCAGAGACACTGTCCACATGGAAAACATGCTCCAACCAGATGTGTACAAATGGGCCACATATGCACAGTGCCATCCCCTTACTGGCCGCTCAATCAGCTCAATACAAGGCTGCAGGTCCAGGCCAAAGTCGATGAAGTTCCACTCAATGCCCTCTCTTTGGTATTCTTCCTGCTCCAGGATGAACATGGTGTGGTTGAACAGCTGCTGCAGCTTCTCATTGGTGTAGTTGATGCACAGTTGCTCAAAGGAGTTTACCTGCACATACACATGGGGTAGGGGACAGCTGAGCTGGGTGAGATCATAAGGCAGGGAGTTCAGCTGCAAGCAACCCCATAGCCTGGACATGGCTCCCTAAAAAGCCCTTCCTTCCACCTCAGCACCCAGAGAGGTGCAAGCCTCAACTAAGACTGTGTAAAGTACAATAAGACTAGCAAAACAGACCGACACCCATACCACAGGGCACTTGCCTCTTCTACCTTCGCACGATCTATATATAGATGGACTAACCATATAAGACACACTCTTATCACCATTCCACATGCAGGGAAACCAAGGCTCAAAAGACAGGGTGATCCCACAGTAGACCTCTTTGATACATCTATCAATCTCTTTCTCTGAGAAATTATCTCCAACTCATGGGAGTGGGACTCAGGCACTCTTCATACACTACATGAAATATGGTAACATCTTGAGCTCGATGCTTGGCTTGGAGATGACCCACTGGCTCAACTTAAGAGAGCAGGAACCAATACAACTTATACTTCAAGATCTGGATCGATGCTCTTAGAAATGAAATGCTTGTTTCTAAGATTGCTAAGTGGCAATCTGGAGCTCTGGCACTCTATTGGCACCATGAGGGAAGAGCTGTTGCAGATGGAACCAATGTGGTAGAAAACAAAGCAGGTAAGTCTGGCCTACTGCATCTAGCTTTGCTGACCAACACAAGCCAATGCATAGTGGATTTATATTTCTCATATACTCAAGCATAACCTTAACCAGATAGCTTCCTACTGTAGGACTTATCTATGCCTTTCTCCAAAACAACAATGTCTCAAAGCCATATCCCAGATGACCAAGATCATGGATATACCTCAAAGATCTCAAATCCAGCAATATCCAGAATGCCCAGGAAGGATGCCCCCTGCCGATGGGTCTTGTCTAAGGCTTTATTCACACGGCTGAGAATCCATCGGAAAAGGCGCTCGTAGGTGGCCTTGGCTAAGGCTTCGATGGCAAAGTCAGCCTGCAGGGGCAATGAAGGAAACACAGGTACTACCATCAGGAAAGTGGCACCAAGAGTGGTCAGACTTAACAAATGACTGGATGGATAATAAAAATACCATCCATGAGAATCCTGTCGAGCTTGTTCCCTTCAATAATCAGTTAGAGGCTGTCTGTTCGCTTCCTGAAAATATACACAGACATTTCCACAGGCCAGGTCTCTAAGGTCAGTGATGGGTGAAGGACTCTACTTTTGGTTAGCAGTGTCCTCAAAAGTTGACATAGGACTGCAAATATTTCAGTATTGGATGGATGAAGGGTATAGGGGTGAATGGACAGATGGGCGGGTAGAGAAATGGTAGGCTAATAGATAAGTGGATTGGTAGGGGGTGGTTGATGTGTAAATGGATGGTTGGGTGGGCTGGTGAGTGGATTGATGGATGGTTGAGTATTGAGTGGATGGATGGGTAGGGGCGGTAGATGAAGGGCTGATAGATGAATGGATTTGCAGAGGGGTGCGTAATGGGTAAATGGAAGGGTGGTTGGGCTGGCTGATCAGTGGATGGATGGGTGGGTAGATGGTGGATTACAAATGGATGGTCATTAGCTCGATGAGTGGTTGGATGGACAGGTAGATGGTGAATGATTGGGTGGATAATGGATGGGTGAGTAGAGAGCTAGGATGGATGAACATGTAGGTGGGTGACAGGTGGATAGTTGGGAAAATGAATGAAAGGCTTGCAGCATAAGCAGCCACAGCATCATTACCTGTTCTTTGGTCTGAGCTTTCTGTACCACATCCCGTCCAACTTTGATACGTGGGGTCAGGATGGCTCTGGTGAAATCTGTCACGTTAATCCCCACAAGGTGGCACACTTTCTGAGCAGCTATGTGAGAAAAAAAGTATTTTAGCTATGCCAGCAAATTGGTGCCACTAGCACCAGAGGGGGATATCACTGTCATCTATACTGTTTATTTCCCTTTAAAAAAGTAGTAGCACTCCTATGAGGTGGTGCACTTGAGGGATGGAGGGAGGAGCATCAGAAGGGCAAGCTCACCTCTGTCCACACAGAGAGTTTGAGTCCTGCATGAGCTATGTGGGACCCTGCCTCACAAAACAAAAGGCAAACAAATAAAAACAACTGCAAAAGAAAGAAAACTAAAATGTATTCATAAATGTCTATTCTGGTCATGTGGCTTATGTGTATTTATGCAATTAAAAACTTACTTTCAAAAACACAAAAACACAGCTGCTTCCTACACATCAAGATTTGCCTATCTCTCTGTGGCTTGGTGGTGGTGGTGTGTCTGTGCATGTACACATGCCCAGCAGATAGTACATGAAGTTTAGGGTCCCTCAATTGCTTCACAAGCTATTTGTTCATCTATCTCTCTGGATTCTGTTAGGGAATTGGATCCTTTTTACATGCCACATTTGTGGAGGGTAATATACAATATATGCTCAATAGGGTGGTCTCTGTGGTGCTGTAAAGCAGTACAACATATAGTCTCTGGTGGTCCTAAAACTAGAAAGCTGATATTCAGCTGCCACCAAGAATGATAGGAGCAAGGGGATCTTCTCAAAAGCACAAAATGTTGAGTATTTTCAAGAAAGATAGCCAGAATTAGTGGTGGAAAACCCAGAGGAGGTGAACCAGGGTTCTGAATTAAATATGAATTTCAGACAAATAAATAGTAGAATCTCTTTTTAGATAGTAGAATATCTTTTTAAATGTCTTATTTTTATTTAAGTGTGTGTGTGTGTGTGTGTGTGTGTGTGTGTGTGTGTGTGTAGGCATACATGCATGTGGGTGGAGAAAAGAATGATGAATACCCTAGAGCTGAGGTTACAGGTAGTTGTGAGATTCCTGATGTAGGTGCTGAGACTCACACTTGGGTCCTCTTGAAGAGCAGCAAGAGCTCTTAACCTCTGAGCCATCTCTCCTGTCCCCTGTAATATTCTTATGATGGAAAGTGTATGGATTACCTGAAATCTAGGGTCAGTTGAGTCACCTGTGTTTTATCTGCAGAAAACTCAAGACCTAGCTCCTCAACAAGACTGTGTACCATAAGAAGGGCCTCTCTGACTTTTTTCTGATGTGTCCTAAGTCATGGCAGAGTGAAATTGCTTAGGAAATGCTTATTCAATAAAGAAGAAGGTTCAGAAGAGATGACCCATGAGGGTCCATCTGGCAAACTTTCTGAGCAGCTTTGTGAGGAAAAAAAAAAAGCATTTTAGCTATGCCAGCAAATAGGTGCCACTAGCGCCAGAGGGGGAATGTCACTGTCCCAGAAACACTAGGCTTCTGACTTTGTACTGTAGGATATGCAGCCATGAAACACTTGAAGAAAGAGGCAGTGACAGAAGAAAGGCCCCATAGCCATGGGGAACATGCCCAAAGCCTGAGTGAATGGCTAGGACTACAAATGGTACCAGCCCTGTGCATGCTGGGGCATTCCTATATAGACACACCTCTGATAAAAGTTTAACTTCCACAGGAGGCATCGAAAGGAGCTAACAACAGTTATTAGTAATAAGTCAGGCAGCCAGCATGGTAGAGGCCATCCTAGCACTTGGAGGAGAACCTGGAGTTCCAGGCCAGTCTGTGCTACACAGTGAGGTCTTGTCTAAAAAAAAATACTATTAATAAAGTAACGATAAATAACATAATTATAACAGTATGTTATAATAAGATGGCCTTTTTCTCTCAAACTCCCTCCTTGTGTTATCTTGTACTTTTAGAACACAAATGACTGCCATGTGCAGCCATAGATAAGGGGAACATCACCAGTGCCTGAGTAGGACCTGCCATCCCATTCCTGAAGCTATCACCACTGCGACAAGCAACAAGTACCTGTATTATCAGGCATGGATGCCTGGTCTGTGTTCCGTTCCTTCTTGAAGACAATGTTTCCAAGCTGAAGGACAGATGATACCACCTTCAAGATGGCTGAAGTAGGGAGAGAAGAGTGGATTAGATAGTAACAACCCAATATTTTGAAGGCTGGCAATCTAATCATCACTGGACACCCAGAGTCAACCAGTGCCATCTCTCTGTAGACTAAGTTCTCAGTTCTTTCATCTTGACAAGGGCCAAATTGCCTGACTCCCTGGCTTGCAGGGGAAGATGCCTGGATGTGAGAGCTGAGTACTTCCAGGAAGCTACTAAAAACCTCATTTCTCTATGCAGCAGAGACTTGAAAGCTTTAGCCGTGGACCAAATGTAACTCACTGACTCTTATGGATAGAAGAATAAATAGATGTATAGATGGATGGAGGAGTGATATAGGTGGTAAGGTGGGTGGAAGATGATGAAGGATTGACATATACATAGATAAATGGATAGAGAATGGATATATGAATGGAGCTGAATGGATTAAAGATGAATGAATAGAGTGAATGAGTGGATGGATAGAGGATGGATAAAGATGGGTGGGTAAAAAGTGAAGACAAGGTCTGGTGGGTAGAAGATGTGTAACGTATCAGTGTCGACAGTTGTCCTACGTGAACTGTAGAACTAGTCACCAAGAACAAAGCCTAGAAATTCCATCTTTCTTTGTTCCCCAAGGGTTTTAGGTCTCTCACAGCAGTGTCCTCAGACTGTAATGCCCAGACACAGTCAGGAGGAGGAAGATTCAGTTGTTAACTAATCCCCACCACCACTGGTTCCTCTCCACTGTGAAGCTGCTACAGACAGGGCATTGCTAAGGGTGTTCTCTTTTGTACTACACCCACAAAAGGAACTTAGTAAACTAAAATGTGCTGGCTTCATGGTTCTCAAAAGTACAAGTCTAAGCTAGGTATTGCCAAAGTGCCTGCAGAGCGAGGGTGAACAGAAATTCTTGGGCAGACCTGGGCACCCAAGGAATATTTAGCAGCACCCCCAGAACTCACCAGTAGATGGCAGCAGTGACAACCTCTAGAGCTGGAACTACGGACTTACGTTAATGTCTTTAGGGCATAGGTTTACACATTTTTCTACTTTCAGATATATCTCACTGATGCTTAGCTCAAGCTGACTTTAAACTCCATCCTCCTGCCTCATCCTCCCAGGTGCTATGTTTATAGTCACATACCACCATAGAAGGCAAAGCATGGTAAACCTTGTCTCATCTGTGTCCTATCTGTTCCATCACTGACTTAATTTTTTCCTTTAAAAATTCTTTTCATTTTTTTCTTTTTTCCAAAACATAGCTTTTCTGTAAATCTCTGGATGTCTTTAAACTCTCTCTGTAGACCACACTAACCTCAAATTCAGAGATCTGCCTGCCTCTGCCTCCCAAGTGCTGGGATTAAAGGTGTATCACCACATCTGGATCTGCTTTACGTTGTTTTTCTTTTTTTATTCTTTTTCCTCAAGTTTATCTTTTGTAGAAAACTATCCTAAGTTAAAAGTCATCTTAACAAAAACAAAAACAAAAAATCAGCTGCACCTGCCAAAAATCTAATCACTATAACAATTAATCAGGAAAATGGACAGTATTATCAGATCCCAGGCAGGGCTGGGTTTAAGGTATGCTCTGTGTGGCTAAAAGGAACATTTGAGAGTACCAGAACAGAGCTGAGGACCAGCATCTCAGGGTGAGCACTGCATTGTTTATTAACAGTAGGCAAGAGCCTGCATTAAGGCTTTGTTTATTATACTTTTTATTTTTATTATATTTCATTTTACTTATTGGGTTATTTGCTTGCTTGGTTTTGTTTTAGACAGTATCTTTCATGTAGCCCTGGCTGGCCTGGAACTCACAGAGATTGTTCTGGCTCTGCCTCTCTAGTGCTGAGATTAAAGCTGAGATTAAAGGTATGTGCCTTTATGCATGATTTGTTTGTTTGTTTTTCTGTCTCTGAGACCTGTCTACTCAAGCATACTATGTAGCTCAGGCTGGCCTCAAACTCACAATAACCCTTCTGCCTCAGCCTCCTGAGTGCCTGGCCATTTAGCTTTGCTTCCCATCTTGTCCCTGACATAAATTATTCAAGAAGTCAGACAAAGCAAGGTCCCCAAGAGTGAGTCCCAGCACAAACCTTTTCACTTCTCTGACTCAGTTTCCTTGTCTACAAACTGAAATCAATCACTCAGGGGTGCCATTAAATAGTGTACCAAAAATGTTTGTCTGACATAATGCAAGACTTAGGCTCCATCCCCAGCACAGGGGGCTGGTAGGGAGGAGATCACAGTGGACATAGCCATTGGTAGAGGGCTTGCCTAGCCTGCAGGAAGCCCTGGGCTTGTACCACATGAAGCAGATGTGGTAACACACGCCTGTAATCCCAACACTCAGGAGGAAACACTCAGGTGTTCAAGATCATCTTCAGCAACAGAAGGAATTCTGGGCTATCCTGGGCAACTTGAGACCTGCCTCAAAAAGCTAAAAGTCTTGTTTTGTTTCCTACTAGCTTCTCTTTTTCTCTCCTGTGAGCATTTATACAGCAGTCATTTTTTTTTTTGTTTTGTTTTTTGCAGTCTTTTGTTTTTCCAAAAGACAATTTAAATGGCCCCATCTGCCCCCTTTTACAGGGACAGACAATAACAACTTTTATCAATCAAACTTTTATAAGCTATTCCAGTTTATTCCTGTTTTCCTTCTTTCTCTCACTATTTGAATAAACTACATTGAATATTTGAATAAACTACATTGGTGTCTTAAGGGGAAAACAAGAAGCACATGGCTCGGACCCAGTCTATAACTTAATCTTTTTTGTGTTTTCTTAAAACTGAATTAGGAACCAAACTGACCCTTGTCCACAAGAAGATGCATTAGATGTTCATGGCCTTGGCTGTTGATGGGGTTGGTCAAATGCCACAACACTACCCATCTGTCAACTCTGTCCTAGAACCTTTATTTTATTTTTTCTAGTCCATAGGTTATCCTATGGGCACCAGCTCATCCTGTGGCCTCACTGTAGCAAGTGGATATTTCTGGGACCCCTGATGGTGTAGAAGGGAGGCCAGTTTACCACAGTCTTGCCCCAATTAACTCTGAATGCTAGAGCTGGTCCACACCAGAAGGAACAGTGTTTCTGGAGTCACAGCATGGATGCCAACAGGGGCCAAGAGGGTTTCACATCCAGTTGTGGAATGATATTGGTCAACATCAGTTTATCAACAAAGCTGAATTTCTAGGAAGAGCCCCACAGACACTGTGCCACCTTATAGAGGTCTAATATGTCAGCCTCAAGAGGCTGCTCTTAGCATCCATACTTCCTTGTCCCATGGTCCTAACTAATAGGCAGCCAAGGAATGCACATGCTACCTAGGCCCATCAACTCAAGCTAGTGAGATGCCACTATTTGGGGCTATAACAGAGAGCCCCTCTACACTTTGGCCACAAACCCTAAGTCTATAAGAACTGGGATACTGGGATACAATTGCATTGCTGTCAAGAAAACTATATAGGCCTATATAGGGACCTTCCTGTTAAACAATAGAGAACCAGGGGCTGGAGAGATGGCTCAGAGATTAAGAACACTGTCTGCTCTTCCAGAGGTCATGAGCTCAATTCCCAGCAATCACATGGTGGCTCACAACCATCTATAATGAGATCTGGTGCCCTCTGCTGGTGTGTAGGTGTACATGCAGTCAGAACATTTTATAAATAATAAATAAATCTTGAAAACAAAAAAACAATGGAGAAGCAGAAACCAGCTTTTAAAGAAATTCTGAGTCCCTAGATACTACTGAACCTGCAACTAGTATTGTCTGAGTCTTCCAATTCAGGAGTTACTATGGTTTGATTTTGAGCCATCCTCCATCTTTCCAGCTCATGGTCCCAAATTTATTGTGCTATTTGGAGAGCCTTTAGGAGTAGGGATTAGTCCTTCCCACTCTGCTTCCTGCCTGCTGTGATTTAAGGATCTCTGCTACACATTCCCACTACCATGGTTTGAACAGATCCACCATGCCTTCCCTCCATGGTAGACCAAGACCCTCAAAGACCGTGAGCCAAGATAAATCCTCCCGCTCTTAACTTGTTCCTGTCAGTGTGTCATCAGTGAAGCAGAAGTAATTAACAGCATTAATCACTTTTTTTTTTCTTAAGCCAGTTTGGGTCAGGTGCAATCAAAAGAGCTTTATACTTCAGCCACTTGCCTAATAAGGCACATATGACAGGTTTCACTTTTCTTCTCTTTGTTTTCTTTCTCTCTACCTCCTCTCAAGAGGTAGGGAACTCAGAGAGTAGCCTTCCATCCTTACCAGATGAGGGCTAGTAGGGAATCCCCCAGAACCTCAAATCCAGTCAACTAGGTACAGATTATGAAACTCACCTAGCTGTTCTTCTTCACTGAAGCCCATGATGGACATGGCCTCCAGCGTCTCCTGGAACATCTCATCATCTTGTGCAGCTGGTATGGGCACAAAGCCATTGGATAAAAATGTGTAGCTGTTGAAGCTCTCCAAAAGCAGGTCACCTAAAAGAAAGGAAAGTGAATGAGCAAGGGGACATACTTCTTTCTACCTTCAGTGTGACACAGGGTCCCTGCAATAGTCTGGGCCATCGTCATTTCTCTCCCTTTCTCAAGGTTTGGCAGTTAAAACTCTTCCCATATGTCATCATGTACAGAATCCTACCAGTGCTGGTCTCATATAGTGGTGCAGGTTGTGTACTGTGCCAGGGTCTAAAATCCAGCCTCATCTCCACTGCTCAACCATGGCCTTTAACATGGGTTTGCTTCAACTCAGTGAGGAACAAGGTTAAAGAGTAAGAGCATCTCTTTTTACTTACACACACATACAGAGTGTTTTTGTTGTTTAGAAACAGGTTCTTACTATGTAGCTCAGGCTGGTATTGACTGCCTTCTCACTGCTAGGATCATAGACATACACCAACACATGTGTATTATATTTATATTCAAAATCACACATGCACATACATTAAAAATTTTTATTTTAAAAATAAATAACTACAAAACTAAAAATATAAACATATTTGTAGTTTTATTGTATGTAGTACTGCTTAAAGAGCCTCTCACTTTCCTGGAAAAAGAAGATATAAACATCTAACAAGTCCATGATAAATAAATAAATCACCATCTAAAGCAATAGAAAGTAAGCTAAGACAATAAAAGATTTACATATCCTAAATAGTATATTATGTACTGCCCTGTATATAACAAGAATATTGCAGGACATCAAATTTAGGTGTTAACATACTGATTTCCTGCTATGGTACATAAAGACTCAGCTTTCACCCTTCTTTTTCTTCTAACTATTTCTAGTTAAATCAGAAGACAGGCCTTTTATTAGAGGTTAACAAATCTGGCCCACTGGTTGCCTTTGTAAATAAAGTTTTATTGGAACTAGGCTGCCTCCATTTCCTTGTGATCTCTCCCACTGTAATAGTAATCAGCTGAAATAGTAATCATACTGTAACAAAAACAGTATGATCTGACCCCTTAGTGAAACAATTTGCCAATCCCTTATTTTATATTATTATGTCTAATAAAACTTGTTTGTGTCAGGCTTGTTGGCACATGCCTGTACCAACCTATAGACTCAGTATCCTGAAGGCCAGGGCAAGGAATCTTGTTAAAGGCCAGTCTGGTCTACAGAATGAGACTGTTGGAAGCGAGTGTACTCTGGAGCTAAGCAACCACAACCTGGGAGTTCAGCTATGTCCTCCTGCAAAAGGATCATTCCAGCTGGGCTTGTTGACTGTTTATATCTTCTCATGGAGGGATGGGGAGGGTCATTAGACCCTCAGCAGAGTTTCTAGCTGCTCCTCATTGCATGCAACTATGTAACTCTGTCTTAATTGAATGTGGCCTTGGGGAGAGAGTTGCTATAGTACATAGGCCAGGGAAGACTAGTAGAGAGGTGCTCTTCCCCGCCCCCCCCAGACAGGATTTCATTGTGTAGTCTTAGCTATCCTGGACTTGCTTTGTAGACCAGGCTAGCCTCGAACTCATAGAGATCTGCTTGCTTCTGCCTCCGCCTCCCCAAGTGCTGGGATTACGAATGTGCCCCACTGCACATGTCTTGAAAGAGGGACTGTTATTCCAGGGGTGGCCTGTTGAGTGGGGGGAGGAAGAGAAAAGCACTCATACTCCTGAACATGACCCCTTACCTAAGGAAGCCCAATGAACTCATTGCTTTCCCAGAGTGAACTTTGGTGGAATCTTGTATATCTTTGTAGCTGGGAGGTTATGTGAAGGAAATTTAGCAAGTGTCTCAAGAAAAAAAAGTCAATTTTGTAAAAAGTCATTCTTTCTTTCTCTGTATTTATATTGTACACATGTGTTCTCATGTGTATGGAAGTGTGTGTGCACATGTGTGTGTATGTGTGTGAGTGTGACTGTACACGTGTGTGCAAGTGTATGAGTGTGACTGTGCATATAGAGGCCTGAGGTTGACATCAAGTTTTTCTTAATCACCCCCTCCTCACACACATCTTATTCTTTGAGGCAGGCTCTCTCACCGAGCCCAGAGCTCACAAATTCAGCTAGACTAGCTAGTCTAAGGATCACCTGTCTCTACTCTGTGAGTGTTGGGATTATAGGCAGGTCACTATGTACTCCCAGCCTTTATATGGGTTCAGCAGATCTGGAACTCAGATCCTCAAACTTGTACAAAAAAATGCTTTATCCAGTGTGCCATCTTTATGACTCCACAAAATTACACTCAGCTGCTCTATTTCCTTTAAGGCTGTTCATTTTTCATCCTCTCCGTTTACAGGCTTTTCTTTCTTTCTTTCTCTTTCTTTCTTTCTTTCTTTCTTTCTTTCTTTCTTTCTTTCTTTCTCTCGCTCTTTCTTTCTTTCTTTTTCTTCCCTCCCTCCCTCCCTCCCTCCTTCCTTCCTTCCTTCCATCCTTCCTTCCTTCCTTTTCTTATTGCTACCCTTCTAACACATCTGTTCCTCTCTATGCCAATTAGAGATACTTTGAAGTGACATCAGGGAGACACTTTTCTTTTTTAAGCCAAGGTCGTTTATGGGTCAGGTCACCTGAAAGCTATTGACAAACCCGAGGTTGGATGAACTCAAGCTTCTTAGTTCAGAGAAACACGGGACTAATCACAAGGACTTGGGTCTTTGCCAACCGCACCATTATCTATGATTTGGAGAGATTCCCCGGTCTTTCAACCTCTCAAACTTTCCTTTTTTCCAGCCCTGTCATCAATAAAAAATAAGGCTGGGTGTGGCAGTGCATGCCTGTAATCTCAATACTTCAGAGGCAGAGGCAGGGGGATTGCTATGAATTTCAGACCAGCCTAGGCTACTTAGTGAGATCCTGATGCAGCAAAGCAAAGCAAAACAATTGGCCCTAGAGTCTCCCCTGTTCCTGACCCAGCTGCCCCTGGCCCAGCTGTGGGTAAGCTTGCTACAGAGCAAGGAGCAAAATGCAGCTGGAATCCAAAGAAAAGGAGGGTAAACAGCTCTGCAAGCCCAGTAGGGCTCCAACTGTGAACTGCGTACTCATCCTTTATCCATATAACAGCAGGTGCTCCAGAATGCCACTTCAAGAACAATGAACTGAAGGGCTGTGAAAAATGCAGTCATGACTGGGCTGATCACATCCTTTGCATAATTTCCTTTCCTTTCTCTTTCATTTTCTTTTCCTTCCTTCTATCTTCCTTTCCTTCTTCTCTTTCTCTTCCCCTTCCTCTCTCCTCTCTCCCTCCCTCCTCCAGGGTCCCACTATGTAGCCCATGCTGGACTTGACCTTGCTATCCTGCTTCCACCTGTTAAAATAACAGGAGTGCTTTACACCCAGGCCTTTTTGCTACTCTTTTTAACCAGAATAACTAACTGTGGGGCAAACAAACAACAACAACAACAAAAAACAAAAAACAAAAAACAAATACACATACATACTGTTAGTATTTTGGAACACAACCTGCTCCTGGGTTACCCAGCAACTTATGATGTCATCATGTGTCGCTGGCCAGGTGGCCACACCTGGAAGGCCAACCCCGACACGTGGTCTCTCTCTTACACTCTTACTCTTTCTCACTCTCTTACTTTCTCTCTCTCTCTCTCTCTGTGCCCCATTCCCCTTTTTTTCTCTTTCCCCATGTCCTGTTCTCCCACTCCCTCCATACCCACTTAATAAACCTCTGGCATAGAAGATCAGTTGACCAGACCCATGCTTTTTTTTAATAACACATATGTATATACATACATACAAAAAACCTTATGGAAACCAAGTCTGTGTTGTTGCCATCAGTTTTCTAACATAATCCTAACCTTAATTATAGAATTCCACTAACCACTGTATTCACCAATGGATGTTTCCCTTTTCTGGCTATAATTTTGATATTCTTTTAAGTGTTTGATTCCTTAACTGTGAGGCTTCTGTGACACCTTGCTCCCCACTCCCCAAAAAAGCCCCATAGTCTAGACAGAAAACCATTGAAGAGAGACCTTAAAAATTATGATAGCAATGCCGAAGAGCTATAAAGTAGCTCTTTATAGTTGATGGCTTCTGGTAGGAGCTGAGGTGGTAGGGAAGGACTCAGTTTTCTTTAAGGGGTTTGCCACTGGAAGTTTGACTATGCTCCAAGGGCAACACAAATTAGACTTGGTGTATTTCTTCATTTTTCTTCTTTTTTGGGGGGGGAGGGCACAACGGTGGGGGTGGACCTGGGAGGACTGTGATTGGAGTAGATTGTGTGAAATCCCCAAATAATAAATAAAAATATTATGTTGAAAAAAATAATTTTATTCCTACATGGCCAGAGCAGCTTATTTCTTACCTGAAATATGAAAAACATAAAAATAATTTACAGTAGAAGCTGACAAACTTCAAGCATGCTTTATGTTCTTGTAAATATAAAGTTTTATTGAAACAAACCCACCCTGTTAGTTTATGATTTGCTGTGGCTGTTTTTGCACAATGGTAGAACTGAGCAGAAGAATCTATGTAGACAGTAGCTATTTGGCTTTTTAAAGAAAAAGTCTGTTTGGCTGGGGTATAAGTCAACTTGCAGGACAGGACTTGCCTGGTGTATGCAAAGTCCATCCCCAGAGTCAAAAGAAAGAATGGAGAGAGGGAGGGAGGGAACAAGGGAGATTGTACATGCCAGTGGTCACAGTGGAAGGTGGAGCAGGACAATCAGGAGTTTAAGGTCAGCCTAGGCTATATAGTGAGTTTGAGGCTAGCCTCGGCCACATGAGACCCTGTCTCAAAACAAAACACCACCAAGACTTGTATAATGGAAAGTCTTGAATTTACTACACCTCTAAATTCTTTCTAGAATCAAAATATAAAAGCCTGGGTTTGAGAGCCCATGCGTAATAAGCTCAGCACTTGAGAGGCTGAGGCAGAAGGATTACAAATTCAAGACTATATTGGGATACACAGTTTCTGGGCCACTAGACTACAATGTAAAAGCTGATCTCAAAACCAAACCAAAGCCAGCAACTAAATATACTTGAAGGTATTTTTTAAGGCAAGGTCTTACTATGTAGCTGTGGTTGGCCTAGAATTTACTATGTAGACCAAGCTGACTTCAAACCCATAAAGGTCTCCTGGTCTCTGCCTCTTGAGTGCTGGAATTAAAGGAATGTGCCACCCTACCCAGCACCTGGCAGGTTGTCAAAACAGGCATCCAGGTTATTGTCATCCTTTAAAGGCACAGACTGTAACTGGACCTGAACAGTTAATGTTCTAATGTGTGACTAATAGCCAGCTACCATATCATAGAGCTGGTGATGATAACTAAATAAAGGCCACCCTTGTGCACCAAAAGAGGTGAGGAATTTTGTACCTGCCTCCCCCAGCACCAGAGCTTTCCCAGTCACTGACCCTTGAACCCATCACAGGGCAGACACTCACTTTTCATCTTTTCCTTGGCTCCAGCGATCAGATAGTAAAAGATGTGGAATGTTCTCTCGTCCCTGGCCTGTCGAATTGCTCGTGATTTTTCCAGAAGATCTGGTTGGGGAGGAGTTAAGGGCTCTGGGGCCAGCTCAGGGATTCAGCTCACAGCTCAGGAAGTCAGCTGCCAAAACCTAACCACTAACCTACCCTGTCAAGCCAGCTGCTGCAAGATCCCTGGAAGGATCCCTGAAAAGTTATAAGGGACCCAAGAGTTGGCAGAGTTGGTCTCTATTTCTGATTTGTGTGCCTGTATAGGGCAACTGATCTCAAATGAACTCCTTAAGGTTTGGCCTTGGGTAAGACTCAGCAAAGTGAAGGTGATAAAGGCCACATGACAGATGGTGCCAATCTGGCCCTGACTTTATCCCAGCACAGTGCTATAAAAATGAAGCAAATTAATTTTATTTGTTATTCAGACATCTCCTGACATCATCTCTGTCTAACACACAAAGCCCAGAGAGGTTGGGTAACCAGGCCCAGGGAGAGAGATCAATCAAGAATCCAACACAGGCGTTGAAGGTTTACATGTAACCCTACCACACAGTAGTACCACACAGTAGCACAAGAAGGATTATTTCAGAAGGAACTCAAGAGCCTGCATAGAGGGAGGGAGTTCTGTGTTTGTCCTGGGCTCCTCACCCTTATGAGGCCCCAACTCAGCAAAGGATACATGTTTCAATGTTGGCACCCACAATGTAACCAGTGACATCGAAGTTGATGCGAATGAACTTGCCCTGCCAAGAGGAGAACAAGTTGATGTGCAGCCAGGCTCAGCATAGACTCCATACCACAGGGAAGTGTCAGGGGGGCCAGTGAGGGTAGAAGAACAATCAGAATTTCAGTTCTGCTGGACCACAGCAACTAGGATCTGAGCTGGGATCTCGAGGCCTGCCAAACCTATGCAGGGAACATCATTTGTCTCAAGAAACAACTAAGTCCTCAATGGCTGTCCTCAAGGGGTAGGGAAACTGTGGCTGACATATGTTAAGTGGCATGGCATGACATTGCTTTTCAGAGGTGCTGTCTGTCACAAGTTTTTCACATCAAGTGGTCTAGGCTGCTTTGGCCTAAGCAATTGAGTGGCTGAAATGCTTTTTGTGCATGTGTGTGTGGTGGTGGCAGAGGTGGGGTGGGTAGGGGTTGGATACACATGTCAGGGGACAACTTCATGTATTATTTCTCAGGCACTATCCATCTTGTTTGTTTAGACAGTCTCTTGCTAGCTTGGAACTCTCCAAGCAGGCTAGGCTGGCCACTCAGCCGACCCTAGCGATTCTTCTGTTTCTGATTCCTCAGTGTTGTGACTACAAGCACATGCCACCATGTCTTGCTTTTTATGAGTTTAGGTCCTTGTGTTTGCAGGGCAAGCACTTTACTAAATGAGCTATCTGAGCTCCTGCTAATGCTGTAAATGGAAGCCCTGGCCTCACATATGCTAAGCAAGAGCTCAACACTGAGCCACTCTGCCCCAGGCTCCACACTTGTATTACGAATAAGTCAGGGTCTTGCTATGTAGCTCAGACTGGCCTTGAATTCACAATTATCTTGCCTGAGCCTCCCGAGTGCTGGGATTACAGGCATGCACCACCATGCCTAGATCTGAATGGTTTTGTTTCTTGTTCATATTAGAGGGAGGATATCAAGATGCTTTATATGTATCTGAGATATGCTGTGAGAGATAAGGGCCCTTGCATGAGTAGCTGTGATGGAAACAGGCCTTGTGGCACTTAGGCCAGCACAAGTGATGCCCAGAGGGAACTTTTACATTGTCAGGAAAACACATATTTGGGGATCTTTACTTTTTGTGATTAATTTTGTTTTCAATTATGTGTGTGTGTCTATGTGTGAAGTCTTTATGGGCGCCCATGGTGGCTTGAAGAAGACATTGGATTCCGTGGAGCTGTAGTTACTGGCAGTTGTGAGCTGCCATGTGGGTTCTGGGAACTGAACTCTAAACTTCTGCAAGAGCATCAAGTGCTCTTAACCACTGAGCCTTTTCTATATCTCCCTTCAGGGACCTTTCCATAGACCCTGTCCCAGAGAGGTAGAGGTCTGAAACAGCGTTGTTTCTACTCTGTTTAACAGGCACTCTTTCCTCAGTTTTTCTCACTAAGTAGATTGCCTGATGCAGGCCTCTTTGTACATTAAGACAATTCTGATCTGTTGTGGTTTCTACCACACTTCCTCTGCATCCTCCAACCCGTAAGTCATAAACAAGAAAGGAGACAACCTTGGAACCTTGGAAAATGTACACGGGACAGTGGCACCTCCCGCCTAACTGACTGGTGGTCCCCAAAGCAGGTCTCCTTCTTGTGTTTTGGAGCCAAATCAGGATTAGTCACTGTGATTCTTGGTGCCTAGGTCAGCACCAGCTATATAATTTGTACTTAATAAAAACAACTCAACAAATGACAAAATAGGGGAATGGTCTATGTAAAAGTGTTCACCAGAATGACTGTATGCAGTAGGTAGTTCTGTAGTAGTCAGTATTTGGAAAAGGACAGATGTAGGTGTTACAGAGTAGGCACTTAATTCATCTATGTTGAATGAATGAATGAATATTGAATGTGTCTGATATGTAGTAGGTGCTCTGTAAATGTTAATTAGATAAACCACAGATGTGAAATGCCTAACTGAGAATGGATGCACAGTGATTATTGAGTGAGGACAGGAGCCCTTGAGACAGAAGGACAGGGAACAAATGTGGTTGTCCTTCACTGTCTCTAGTCCTTTAGTCACAGGCCTCCTCAATCTGTGCTCTTGGGGGATATGTGACATTGGGATGCCCACATCAGTCCCAGAAAAGCCTATATGGCTCTGTTACTTACAAAGCGAGAAGAGTTGTCGTTCTTGACAGTTTTTGCATTGCCGAAAGCCTCCAGGATTGGGTTCGCCTGTAGAAGCTGCTTTTCCAGCTCCCCCTAAAATTCATTCATATCTAGTTATGGTGGAACACAGTCTAAGGCCTGACACAAAACTCTGTCCTTTAGCCATAGGCTCTGTCCTGTCCTCAGACGCTCCTAGACCCCAACATTCACATCCAGATGTAAATCTATTCAGAAGGCTTTCTGACAGAGAAGACATCTGCGCTTTAGAAAGACTGTCTCCCAGAGCAAAGGTCATTACATCACACAATGCTGGAATGCCCCTAAGAGTGTGCGGTGTACAGCCTGCCGTCCTGATACCACAGTTCAGGTGTGATCAGCTGCCTCTTCAAGCTAAGCCATTACAACCTTCCCAACTGCGTAAGTGTAATTGTTTAAAAGTTGCAGCATTTCATTGGGCAGGTCTAGACTTCTGATGATTTCATTTCTATGAAAGAAATTTTGGGAGGCTCCAACCCCACCAGAAATCCTTTTAAGCAGCTACAGAATGAAGCCTCGAAGCTACAGGAGCTCTGTCTAGCAGATTAAATACAGCTGAGACTGCGTGCAGCTGTAAGACTCCTGTATGCAAATGCAATCATGTGATTAATGGTGGCAAGGAAAAGGGCCAACAAAGCAAGCTATGCCAGGAAAGCAAAGAGATGCCAAGCCATAGAATGCAGCAGCTGCTGCTGGCCTGGACATCCCCCTGCAATGCAGCTTGCAAATTAAGATACAGAAGGCCTTGCCTCCATGGAAGCCCAGGCCCAAGTGGACCTGGCCCACTGGAGAAATTAGCAAGAAGAGTCATCCACTTTCCCTGGCTAGTAGGAAAAAACTCAAGAGTAATTGCATATACCTGTGCAGACTTGTGATCCAAAGCTCTCCACCCCCTTCTGGAAAGGGGCTTCTAACAGGCACATTAAAAGGTCTTTCGAGGGGAGCTTTGAACATAGAAACCTCATCTGTTGCTTGATAAGACTGTGGCCCAGAGCCGTTAAGTGACCGGGCAAAGATTACATAGCCTATGTTAAATAACATCCTGTTCCTTGTATGAGACTAAGTACTGTGGCCCAGCATCTTCCTATAACAGGCTAGGTGACATGGAACACTTTGGGGGGGAGGTCTCTTCTAGGCTGGGACCCATGTGCCACAAGCTCTGCATAGGAGTCCAGCTGACATACACAAAGGTCCATGCGGGAGCAGGTTGTGTGTGGCAAAGGTGGGGCCTTCTCAAGCCACCAAAGCTAGTGCATCACAAACCCAAGAACGTCTCCAATGTCTTTGGTGAGGCAACTGGCATGCAGAGGAGTCACACATGACACACACATGCACAAAGACACACAGGTGCAGGGGACAGAGCTGGGGCAGAAAGGCAGGGAAGGGTAGCTTTGCCTTGGCTGGGTTTCCTACTGACCAAGCCAGGGCCACCCTGGAGCCTGATGGTCCTAAGATGCTCAACACATGTGATGGTCCTTCCAGTGTGTTTGGAGACTGATGGTGGGCTCATTGTGGGAAGGGATGAAGGAGTTTATTCTGAACTGGGGCAATCCATCCAGGCTGGAGTGCAATGTTGAGGATTCTGGCAGAAGGCCCTTGGACCACTAACATGCCCCACTCTGTACTCTGGCATTACTCTCCAACCCCCAAACCCCACCCATGCACGCCATGATATTTTTGTGCCTCTATTGGCCTGGGGCCAAGAACTCAGGAGTCTGCCCTGTTCCCGAATCCTAGGGGCCCGTGGGTGCAACAGATGCATGCAGGTCTTAATCCACTCGGTGCCTCCCATCACACCAGGAAAACTCTGTTACTCACGTAGGCAAGAGATGGGCCTTGCTGCAGTGGGACAGCACGGTATGAAACAGAGGTCAGTGCTTTCGCCTTCACATCCAAGGCCCACCCCATAGTGGGAGCCCTGGGCTGGGCTCCTCCTCACTGTCATGGCTACCAGCTCTAGTCCACTATGATAAGCTCCTACCCTTGTACTCTGCTGCTCTTTCAAGTCTCTCCTTTCTTCCTCTCTTCCCTCCCTCCCTTGATCCCTTCCTTCCTTTTGAGACCATATAGTGAGACTAGCTTTGAACTCATGATCTTCCTGCCTCAGTTCCTGAGTTCTGAGATCACAAATGGCCATTACTTTCTTAGATACCCACACATCTCATGGTTCCTAATTGTTGGAGTCTTGGTGGATGTCTTCCTCACTCCTTTTTTTTCCCTCTCTCCCTCCCTTCCTCCCTTTCTCCTTTCTTCCTTCCCACTGTTCTTTCCTTCCTCCCTACCTCTCTACCTCCCTGTCTTCCTCCCTCCCTTTTTTGACTGAATCCTAGGCTAGTCTCAGACTTATTAGATAGCTGAAGATGAACTTGAATTTCAGATTCTCCTGCCTTCACTTCCCAAGTGTTTGATACAGGCGTGCACCATCACATCCAGTTTATGGAGTGCTGGGGATGAGCCCAGGGCTTTGTGCCTAATAGGCACACATTCTACCAAGTAAGCCCCAGCCATCACACTGGCCTCTGATCTGGTAGGGGAAGAAATGTGTCTGCATATTCAGGGAGAGTATCCATCCCTCACAAAACTGAATCATCATAACTACTAGGTCTTGTTTTCACTATATAGAAAAAGGCGAGGTGGGGGAGAAGCAGGATTCTCTCTGCCACACTTAAGCCGGTGGTCCCTATACATAACCCTAACAGGCTCGTCTGCTTTTGGGCTTGTTTAAGGGGAAAAGGTTCCCAGGCTATAACCAGTACCCATCCCAAGTCCCCGATCGCTCCAGGCTCACTGGCCACTGTGCCAGTCTGCTACCCCTAAAGACAGAAAGCAAAGTGCAGGGTGGAAGAAGCTTTTCTCACCATCTTGTTCTCAGCAACCATATAAAGGAACTGAAAGGACCCAGGGTCCCAGAGGGAACAGATGAGGAAGAAAGGAAGGGAAGCAAGAAAAGTTTCTAAAAACTTTCTCTACTTTTCCTTGTAAACCCTCCTCCCACTGGGACAGTATGGGACATGTGGGGCTTTTTAAAAAATCCTTTGTTTATACTAGCAGAGCCATCAATATAAATGCATCTCCTTGTAGGACCTTATTTTGTGGTGCCTGGCTCATAGCAAGAGGGTCAGCCAATAGTGGACCAGGGACCCATGTGAGTGACCTCAGCATCTTTGTCCCCTGGGAGTGGGACATGGTGTCATTCCAGCTTGAGACTGAGTCCTATCCCTAGGAACATATGACAGTATATGGGGCATATTTGCTGGCTCCAAATATGCTGCAGTATATAGGGACAGAGGCCAGGGGCCAGGAGTATTAGAGTTCATAGGCATCCCCACAACAAGAAATGTGATCACAGTGATAACAAGGCCACTGCTAAGAAATGTTCATGTCAGATCTCAGTGGAGAAGGCTTAGTCCTCAGACTCTGAGACCATATATCCATGCTAGGGAAAGGAAGTCCTCAGAGCCAGCCAGTTCCACCCAGGGGACCAACCCTAATAGCACAGGCTGAGTTCTCACTGGGGTGTTCTGTTCACTCCTGAGTCTGCCAAGGCCTGAGTAGCCTTGGTGACAGTGCTTGTTACTTACCGTGATACTGCTGTCTTTCTTGCCCTTGTGGGAGGATGCTACAACAGCCAGATATTGGATGACTTTCTTCGTGTTCTCTGTCTTTCCAGCTCCAGACTCACCTCTGAAAGACATGAATATGGTGACCCTACAAGCCAGGCAGCACCCTCATGGTCATCATTGTTACTCCCAGGGTGGGGAAACTGATGCTCCTCTTGGAAGGCACATTAACTGACTGTGTGCAGGTACACAAGGCCAGAGGTCAACCTCAGGTATTATGCACCTTTAAAAAATTAAAAAAGAAACAAAAACAAAAATCTCTCTCTGGCTGGAACTCATCAATTAGGCTAGGCTGGCTGGGCGGTGAACCCCAAGGATCTGCCTGTCTGTTTCCCCATTGCTGAGGTTACAGGCTCATTACTCTGCCCAATTTTTCTTTTTTAACATGGGTCCTGTAGATCTGAACTCAGGTCCTCATGCTTGCACAGCAAACACCTTACTCACTGAGACATCTTTCCAGCTTTGACCTTGGGTTTTTTACCCCAGCAAATGAACCCAAGTACACAGGCCTACAAGCCAGTGTACACCTCTAGAAATACTGCAAGGAAGAACCCAGAAGAGAGGAGGAGAACCTGAGTTCTGCTCTAAACATTCAAATTCCAGTTTATTTGGCATTATCTGTTGAGAGACATTGCCAGCAAATTGGACCCAAAAGATACAAGAAAGAGGCTCCAAGGAAGAATGTGTACCTTTCAGATAAACAGAGCCCAAGGATAAACCCTAGAAAAAACAATGTCTTATCCCATGAGTCCCTGAGCAGAAGCAAGCCCCTCCATTCTCAGCAGAATTTGTTGAATATTAGGCAGCTCGCTGATAATCTCAGGCAAGTACCAAAATGTTTCCTTTGTTGGAATAATTTATGTTAAGGTGGGTCTAGCTGATAGCTCCCACTGGCGGGGTACTGTTGGCCTACTGAGAAGACTTTCTAGAGCATGTTGTCTTGAGCCACCAGAGCTCACTGCAGAAAGGCTTCTCCACTCATAAGCTCCAGTACCACCTCTGATTCTCCATGTCTGCTGAGAAGAAAGGGTCTCTGCTAACTTTCCTTCCACATTGTCTTCCACACAGACTTTTTTTGTTGTTGTTTATTTTTCTGTTCTTTGCTTGAATGTTTTATTTACCTCATATTTTATGATATGAGATTTTTTTTTTAATTTTTTTTAAATTTTTAAAAATTTAAAAATTTAAATGTAAAGGCCAGCTTGGGGTTCTTTGGCCTGAGCCAGTGACCTGGCTGAGCAGAGCTCTGCTCTCCTTTCTAAATAGAAAAAAAGTGATTAACTTTCTCTGCCAAGCATGTCTCAGTGACTTCTCACGCTGAAAAGAGAAAAGAAAGAGTCCCCACTCGATCTGAGTACCTGGCCTGGTCCCAAAGTGTTCACTGTCCAGAAACAATGCTTCATACCAGCTTCCTGTTCCCTAAACCCATCACAGTTTGAGAACTGTTCCTCATAGGCAATGTGTCTGAACATAGTCCCTAACTGGTGGTACTATGTGGGGAGGCAAGGCCTGAGGAGGCAAGTCATTGGAGGCCTGTCTTTGAGAATTATCACCCGGCACCTTCCAGCTCAAGCCTTCTACTTCAATGGCATCAGGTGAGAAATGATGGTACAGGTTCCCACTGCCAGGGACTAATCCACTGCAGCTGCCATGACGGACTGCACGGTCACAGTGGTGTGACCAGTGTGACCAGTCATCTAGCCCAGAATGGGTAAGCAACCTGTTCTAGATCACACAGCAGGGCAAGGGCACATTAAGTTTGGTCCTTGATTTCAATGCCATCCACACTCTCCCTTTTCTACCACACAGGCTCTGTTCTCTAATAATATTAATTGTTGACAGGATCTAGACTCACCTAGGACACAAGCATCTGGACAAGCCAGTAAGGAAGTTTCTAGATTGGGCTAAATAAGGTGGGAAGAAGACTCACACTGAATGTGGTTGGGGGTCCTGGGTGGCATGAAAAGAAGTGGGCCAATCAGTAGCATTCACCTATTTGCTTCCTGACCTTGGGTACAGTGTGAACAGCTGCCTCTCACTCTATGCTGTCCCCCCACTGGCAATGCCTCACACTGGGAGTCACAGAAGACTCTTGCTTCTAGTCACAGAAGACCCTTGCTTCCGTGAGTTGCTTGTGAGTTATTTTTGATGGGTATTTTGTCACAGGAGTACAGAAAGGAATTGACACTCTAGTGCCAGACAAAGGGCAGGCAGGGCCTTAGGGTTTATCAAGCACTTGCTCTGCCACTTGTACCAGGCCTTCTGTTCCTTTCATCTCCCTAACTATCTAATGGAGGAACTTTATGATTATTCTTATCACTGTCTTAGAGAAACTGAGGCTTAGAGACATTGAAGTAAACCGCTCCAATTCCAAGTACTCCAGAAAATGGAGGAGGCATGAAATTTTAACTTTGGTCCAAATAATAAGACAACCTATATTCTTCTACCTCCTGATAAATGAGAGAGGGACATCTCAGATTTGGACTCTGAAACTGAAAGCAAGGATCAAAGAACAATACTTGTACACCATAGTATAAATTACTTCAGTTGAGCTAATGTCAAAATAGTGGATAGATTTCCCTTTCAATAGAAGGAGATGGATCCTGGTCAGGGACAGGAGGGAAAATTCTGAATTCTGAACATAGACTTTGCGATTGCCACATCAGTGTCTGACCGTAGGCCTACTTCCTACCATTTCACCCTTTCCTATCTGGGCTTTGGTCTTTGCTCCTGACAAAAGTGGGGACATCAACAGCCACACACTCTAGGAACCCTTTTCTCTCCTGTGGTCCTCTAGACACAACTATTTCCAAGTTTCCTGATAAAAATAATTTGTCTTAGGCAGCCTTGTGAACAAACACACTCAAGTCATAGGCTCCAGGCATTTGAAGTTGGCAGGTTCTGGGATGCTCCAGAGACACGCCTATCTCTACTTTTCTGACCCTGGAACTCCAGGTGACAGTGCTGTCCCTATTCAAATACCTGCCCTGATCTGAGGAACTTGCACCCGATTCCTAGTTCTGTCTTAGCTAAACAGGACCCCCTGGGCTTGTCATGACCCCACAGCTGTGTTCATTTCCTTGGCATGTGTGACCTGCACAGTCTCATGGAGATAACTCTGAGAAGACCCCTGTATTGATGGAAAATTCTGAAAATTCTTAATGACATCTTGTTGTATAACTGTATATTCTCATTTGTATAATTTAAATACTATTGGGTAGTCCTACCTCTCTGAGTTGAACACCATTAAAAGCTTATTACAGCCCATTGCTGGCCTCAAAAAGAAGCCAATTGGCTGTATGCTCTGAGCTCCTTCTAAGTCGCACCCTACTGTAAGCTGGCTGTACCCTCTGGTATTGGTGTCCAACTCCTACACATCCTGCAAAGTCTAGTTAGGCACCATGCATTTTGAATATTATCTGTGACTCACGGTGTTCATTCCCTATAGTCCTCATTAGCTTAATGGCACAGGGAGCTCCTGGGCCAGACAGCCCGAGTTCAAATACCTGCTCCACCAGTCACCTACATGGCCTATAGTAAGTCACTTAATCTCCTCTGCTTCCTTACCTACAAAATGGGTATATGTCAAATATTCCACATGACCACTGTGAGGGTCATACAAGAGAACATGACACTCAGAATGGTTACTGGACAAAATCATAGACACTTTTCCTCTCACAGCTACTTCTACTTTTACACTTGTATGTTCTGTCAGTACCATAATCTCCACCATCGGTCCTTGCACTGACCCATAAGCCCCACCATATTTCCCCCTGTTTAGGTGTGGAGTAGGCAAGCCACTTCTGTGCTGGACAGCAAGCATTTCAGGATTTATGGGTGTCCTGGTTGGTTTCTGTCAATTTGACAGACATGTCCAGGAAGGAAGGACTCTTTTTTTTTGGTTTTGTTTTTTTAGGATTTATTTATTTATTTATTTATTTATTTATTTATTTATTTATTTAGGATGTATACAATGTTGTGGCTGCATGTATACCTATATGGCAGAAGAAGCACCAGATCTCATTACAGATAGTTGTGAGCCACCATGTGGTTGTTGGGAATTGAACTCAGGATCTCTGGAATAACAGCTAGTGCTTTTAACCTCTGAGCCATCTCTCTAGTGCCAGAAGAAGGACTCTTAATTAGGAAAAATGCCTGCTCAAGATTTGCCTTAAGTAGCAATTTATGTAGAAGGGCCCAGCCCATTGCAGGTGGCTCCAAACCTGGACAGGTGGTCCTGGATTACAAGGAAGCAAGCTGAGCAGGCCATGTGCTAATCTATGGTCTCTGCCTGCTTCAGTCTCTGTCTTGGGTTCCTGCCCTAATTTTCTTGGGTGATAGACTATGATGTGGCCTGTGATATAAACGAAACAAGCCCCTTTTCCCCCACATTGCTTTTGGTTATGGTGTTTCATCACAGCAATAAAAAGCAAATTGGGATAGTAGGCCATGTGTCCTCATGCCTACTTGGCATGGCCACCTTAGTGTGAAAGCAGCTGTGTAAACAAGTGAGTTGCAGATGTGTTTCAATAAAACTCTGTTTAAAAAATACAGGGCCTCTGGGCTCCCTGGTTGAACATGTTTATTGCTCTAATAATATAAGCTTCCTACTTCCCAATCCCTCAGAGGATCCCTAGTCCTGAAACCTTCCTCTGTTGTTAGTCTCTTATTCTGTCTGTCTGTCTCTCTCTCCCCACCTCTCTTCATATGTGTGTGGTTACACACACACACACACACACACACACACACACACACACGCACACACTTACACAAATAAATGTAAAAAATAAATAAAGGAAGTGAAAAACCTCCCCCTCCCTCCAACTACCATGATGTTCTGCCCAAAGTACTTGGGGTTGAATAACTATGAACCAAACCCTCTGAAACCATGAGCACAACATCAGTACATCTCTGTTTCCAGTTAGTTATGCCAGACATTGTGTTCCAGTGTTGGTGAGCTGACTCAGCGGGTAAAGGCATCTGCTGTCAATCCTGGTGACTTGCGTTTGATCTCCAGGACCTACATGGTTGGAGAGAAATGACTACTGCAAATTGTTCTCTAACCTCAATGTGTACCATAGCACTTGTGCACCCACACACACATATGCACAATAAATTTTTTAAAAATTAAAAATAGAATGGCACCAGCATCCTTAAGCATTCAAGTGTGCTGTATCCTGTGCTAGGGGCAGAGCTGAGCAACTGTGAACACATTCCAGATCTCACCCTGGTGATCTTTGGCTTCAATAGACAACAACGGAAGAACAGTCTCACTTACGTGCACAGAATGGACTGATCCTCACGATCTGCAGAGAGAAAACAGACTGTAAATTAGACTGAACCCTATATCTAAGGGTCTGGATCTGGCCCAAGCCAGGCTCTATTCTCAAGCTCTCACTTGCTGACCAGACTAGAGGTCCAGCCAGCTATACCGGATGCCCAGGACACAGGAGGCCAAAGTGAAACCACAGAACAACGACAGTCCCCTAGGTGGCCTCTGAGAAAGGCCTGATGCGCTGGGGGTGGGGGTGGTATGCAGACCTCCAGTTTCCGCCGCTCTAGAGTCCTCCCAGAGCCTCATCTGATTAGGTTATAGCCTGGGAATGCTCTGGATGCAGGCTTACCAGGTATGCTTGGAGCTCTAGGTCTCTGCTCTGAGGTCCGGGCTACGTATTTTAGCTTTTGTGTCAGCTCCACCAGCTGAGATGTGTTGTAGTGAACAGCCCTGGTTGTGAACACCAGTGCATATTTATGCAGGGTTGGTTTGGTTGGTTTTAGATCTGTCCCTATGTCACTCCTGTCATCTTAAAAAGCTGTGCTAGCTATTTTTATGTCAACTTGACCCAAACTAGAGTCATCTGAAAGGAGGGAACCTCAATTGAGAAAATTCCTCCATAAAATCCGGCTGTAAGACATTTTTTTAAAAAATTAATAATTGGTATTGGAGGGCCCAGTTCATTGTGGGTGGCGCCATCCCTAGGCTGGTGGTCTTAGGTTCTATAAGCAAGCAGGCTGAGAAAGCCCTGGAGAGAAGCTAGTAAGCAGCACTCCTCCATGGTCTCTGCATCAGCTCCTGATAGGAATTTCTGCCCTGACTTTCTTTAGTGACATGGAAGCATACATAAATAAACCCTTTCCTCCCCAAGTCCTTTTGGTTATGATGTTTTCTTACAGCAATAGTCACCCTAAGACAGAAGCCTTGTAGTGGTTCCTTTTATTCCCAGGGAGGTATAAGAATATTCTTAGCTGACTGGATCTTCTGACTGAGAATTTGCACTTAGTCAGGGCTAATGTAGCACATTAGCCCTTTTGCCCTTCTGGCTGGCCTTGCTTTACTCCAAGCCCTTGGTTTCTGTCACTCTGACTCCTCCAACCTATGCCAGGGTTTCCACACATCTGTAAGCTCTTAGGTAGGGTCTTTCTCTCTGGAAGGTAACAGGTTAGTGCCTGATGATACCAGAGATACCCCATCCTCTGATATAGTGGACATCATTCAATCAAAGATCAAACAGGCATAATTAACAGCTTTCTACTCAGAAACTGCCCCAGAAGGCCAGCCAGGTCCTCACCTATGAGGGACATGGGAACAGTGACCATTATTCCAACCACCAGACAAGAACAGAGACACCAGAATGCCATGTCTGATGGGCAATGCCAGAAGTAGCACCTCTCCCATCTAGTCCTTGCTTCATGGCCCTCAGCCTCACTTCACCACAGAGCCCATGGTCTGTAAGGAAACTGTACCTCCAGTGCCCAGCAGATGTTTGAATGCTCTGTTATTTGTTTTAAGTGGATCAGAGGAGAGATGGACTGACAGACAAATCAGAGGAGACATGGGAAGATACATACATGAATAATGCAAGCAGGAAATCAGAAATTCAAGATCATCCTTGGCTACACAGTGTGTACTAGGCCAGCTAGGGCTACACAGGGAAACTCTATCTTAAAGAAAGAAAAGGGGAGAGATAGGGAAAGAAAAGAAAGAGAAAACAGAAAGGGAGGAAAGAGAAAGAAAGGGAGAGAAGAAAGGAGGAAAAGAAAAGGAAGGAAGGAAGAAAAAAGAAAAGATGTCCAATACACACTAACTGATTGAGGTGAGGGCTGGAGGAACCAGTGCCCTGTGACTAGATCCCAGGCAACAAGGATGTCTCTGAAGCCTGATTCCCTGATAGGGTCTCATGTAGCCCAGGTTAACCTCAAGATCACTGTGTAGCCTAGGATAACTTTGAATGTCTGATCCTTTTTGTTTCTACCTCCTCAGTTCTGTGATTACAGGTCTCCAGAACTCACCATTTATGCAGCACTGGGGATGGAGGCCTCATGCATGTTAGGCAGGCACTTTGCTCTCTGAGCTGTGTCCCCAGCCCTGACCTCCATTATTTTAAGGAAAGACTTGGACACTGCAGACCATGGGCTCTCTTCTTCCATCTGACCTGGGGAAGGAGCCAGGATTTCTCAGCAACCTAGCAATAGCTAGTCCCTAAGTAGGAGAGATTTATAGGGTCAGAGGCTCCCAGGCCTCCCAGGAGGAGCAGCTCTGTGCTGTGGGCCATTGGCAGCTCTCTGGCCCAAGATGTTCCCATCGGAAACACAAGCGTGGGAAGCACAGCTGTGGGCAAAAGAAGTGCTCCTTTGGGTCAGCAGTCAGCCTGACCCCAAGGAACTTGCCTGAACTTTCCATGGCTGAGACTTTCCATTTCCTTTCTGAACCAGTCTTTGAAAGAGCCAGGGGATGGTGAGATGGTTCCGTGGGTAAAAAATTTCATGTGGTCAAACCTGAAGACTTAGGTAGCCTTGGGATCAACATGGTGGAAGGAAAGAATTGACTCCCACAAGCACTGTCCTTTGACCTATACACATGCTAGTGCACAAACACAAAATCGATAAATGTAATTCACGATTTTTTTAGAAGAGGAAACAAGGCCTTCTGCCCCAGCACACAATTTTTTGTCCACTCAGGTCCTTCTGTTATTCATGGATGTGAAATTCACATGACATGAATGAGCTCACTTAGGATATTTACAACTTATGATCATATGAGCACCACCTATATCTAGTTCTAGAACATGCTGTCACTCCCCAATAAAACCTAATACCCATTAGGCCATCACTACCCATCAACCATTTCCACTAACCCTTGACAACCTATTTTTCTGTTCATCTATGTGCACATGTTCACCTGTTCTGGGTATTTCACCAGGTGAGACACATGGCACTTCCTTCCATGCCTGGCTTCTTTCATGCACCATGTTTGGAAGGGTTATCTGAATTGCAGTATATATTACTATTTTATTCCTTTCACAACCAAGTAATATTCAACTGTATAACAGGCAATATTTAATTCATCCATGGATGGACATTTGGTTTGTTCCTACATTAGGACTAACTATGAATTGTACTGCTGTGGACTTTCACATACATATTTTTACTTGAGTATTTGTTATATTATCTGAGAGTAAATACCTTGATGATACTGTCTCTGACTCCAGACCTCTCTATAGTTGAGAAAGGGGCCTGTCTACTGTGCACCTGACCTGCAAGGCTGCCCGGGACAGCAGTACAGATTATATACTGTTTAACTCTAGGGGAGATTCTTGAAGATTTGTATTTTCATGAAAACAATTTACCTGCAGATTGAAAAAGGGATGTGTTTTCCTAATTCTGTAAATGCTTCATGTTCTGCCTGGATCCCTTAAACCAAAGATTCTCTCTATTGTAGCAATTAACCTCCCCATGACCATTATTTAACCTGCTGGCTTTCAATACATTTTTTGAAGAATGTATATGACATACAGCATTGTTTTTGTTTTCTTTTCCAACTAGGTAAACAAAATAAAGAACCAAAGGACTGTGTGCATTATATCATATTCCCCTCAAAGAGGAAGAAAAGAAAATATTCACCAACCAATGAATGGATTTACAGATGTTAAAAATGTTGTATGCCCTTTCAGTGAGATATTGTTCAGCCAATAAAAAGGAAAAAGTGCTGACACCTGCTACAACAGTTGAAAAAACTACAGCAAGGGGGAAAAAACTGGTCCCAGAATGTGACTGAACAAAGGCTTTCATTCACCTGACTTGTCCAAAACAGGCGAACCTGACAGCTTGCATGGAGCTGGGGTGAGAATGTGGAATGACCTCGATGAGCATAAGATTTAGCTGGGAGAAGGAGGACACTAATTTTTTATTAAATTACATTGACAGTTTCATAGCTTGTAAACTCATTAATGACCTGTGACTTGTATATTTAAAATTGATTCATTTATGCTAGATACATTTTATCAAAATAAAACTTTTTTAAAAACACAATTTGTACTTTCTCCTTTTTGTTTGTTTTTGAAACAATTCTATATTCCAGGCAGACCTCAAATTCATAATTACCCTGCTTTTACCTCCTGGTAACTGAGATTTCAGTTGCTGCTACTACACTTGGTTTATACCATCATGTGTAAGCTCTGCTGTGCTCCAGGCCCTGGAAACACAAGCCAACAAGAGCCACTGTTCCTTGCTTCTATGTAACTAATCATAGAGTGTGGGAGTTGTGGTGGTTTGCATGAAAATGGCCCCCATAAGCTCATATATTTGAATGCCTAGTTCCCAGTTAGTAGAACTGTTTGGGAAGGATTAGGAGGTGGGGTCTTTTGAAGTAAGTGGGGCCTTTTGGCGTGGGTACGGCCTCATTTGGAGAAGATGCAGCCTTGTTGGAAGAGGTGTATCACAGGGTGGGGTTTAAGGTTTTAAAATCCCATGCTAGACGGAGTCTCTCTGTCTGCCTGCAGATTGGGATATAAAGCTCTCAGATACTGCTCCAGTGCCATGCCTGTCAGCTCCCCACCATGATGATTATGAACTAATCCTCTGAAAATGTAAGCAACGTCCCAGTCAAATGCTTTGTTTAATAAGAATTGCCTTGACCTGCTTTCTCTTTACAACATAGAACACTGAATAAGACAGGAATCAAACAGGCAAAGAAATGACCGAGGGCTGTCGCTACACTTATAATCAGGACACGCACCAGTGCACAGACCCCAGGATACCCCTGAGGCTTCCCAGAGTGACAAGAAGTTTTTCAGGCTGTGTCTGTAACTGAAGTATGTCAAGGACAGGAAGGATGGAGGTGGACAACAATCCTCCAGCTGACTAAAGCCGCTCAAAAGCAGGAAGAATGCAGCCTTTTGCACCTGTGGGTGATAACAGCTTTATTGTGACTCGGCTTCTAGCTGAGGATCTTGGGTCCTGGGACCTCACTCCCACCACTAATATGTCCTTGTCTGTCCTTCCTACCTGGCCTGGGGGCTTGTCTTGG